TATAGGCCTACCTAAACTGTTATAGCTTGCTTTTGCTTGTTTTATATTGGTTTATTTATTTATTGCGATTTTATTATATCCGATAATGTAATTCTTTAAATTATATTTCAATGTGGCTAAGGCTTATCAAGATATGACACTTGTTTTGAGTCTACAAAAGGTTATTTGTAAAGTGTTATGTCTTTCTGTTGTATTCATATAGTGTATTATCTGCAAAATAAATAACAAAAAGAAAGAAGCCGCTAGCAGCATCCACAGAGCTGTGAAGAGAGCGCTCTTTTGCTCGGTCTCTCACACACAACCTTTATGTCTGCTGTGTCTTTAATACGTGTGTAGATTATTATGCGTTATTGAAACATCAAGGGGGACGCAGCAAAATCACTTATAAATTAAAATTGTATTATTCTATGCAACAGCCTTACATTTAAAACGGAAACATAAGGGCGATTTTAAGCAAAAAGACCTCAGCCTATAAGTCTAGATGTTTTCTTTTCCTTTTTATTTATTTGTTTATTTGTTTGGCGCATGTGTGCGATAGGAAAACTATAGTGTAAATACGGCAAGCCATCTTTCCCAGACTCGGGGCAAATTCCTTTCACTCCGTCCCGAAGCCCCAGCTGGCCCTCCTGCCATCCACTGCGTAAAACATATGCTGGATAAGTTGACGGTTCATTCCGCTGTGGCGATCACAGACTAATAAAGGGACTAAACCGAAAAGAAAATGAATGAAGAATGAATGAATAAATTAATAATAATAAAATAAAAATAAGGTAATAATAAACACAAATGCCGCGTAAGCGGCCTTTTTTTAGAGATGGTACATTTGAATTGCCTCTTCCCACTTCCCCCACCTCGAAATTGAAAGTTGCAAAGAGAACTCAATAGCAAAGATCATAGCCCATTAACACATCAACACATAGTCCATTTACACATCAACACAGTGCAAGTTTAGCGGAAGAATGTCAAATCAGAATCACGCAGATGAAGCACACCAGCTACTACTATGAAACTATTAAAATTGTTTTGTCATAAATTTGCTTATTTGCAGCAGCTTTTTTTCGCACAACAGAAAAGCGGCGTTGGGAAGCCGTCAATGAATAAAAACAGGGTCAATAGTGAAAATCGGCTTTTCATTGTATCCCTATTACCTATATCAATGCATTGAAGGCCTTTTATGGTGTCATCTCGATAGAATAGCCTAAGTTATAAATAATTTAAAGAACAAAGTTATAAAAACTCACATTACATAAATAAACAATTAAAAATATGTTTAGGTTGTCTATTTAATTGCCCTCGTGATGATGGTGTGCTTTATCATTATGTGCGTTTTACTTATAACTAACCTGATTTAAATGATGGATCTGCGACAGAGAAACTAGGGGTTTTGGGGGACATGCATCACTATATCCTTTTTTTCCCCAAACTGTGCATAGTTCAGCTGCAAGTTACTGTACGTCTTTTTTTGGAAAAGCACCCCATGTCCGCTAGTGCCGCGCGCCTCTTTCTCTGGGCAAAAATGAGTTGATTTTTAAAATAATAAATATATAGATTAATTAAATTTTCAGCAAAAGAGACATTTATTTCATATTTCACTATGCATTTCATCTGATCTTTATAGCTTAATTAAACACATATTGTCAAAACCCACACATAGGCCTATTGTATGAACATGAAAAGGGCATTTTTTGTTATTATTACACTACTATTTGTTATTTGTTGCCTAGGCTATTTTCACATTTGAGGTGCTTTATTGGCATGACAAGTAACTGTACATTCGTTTTGCCAAAGCAGTGCGCGTCTCACAAACAAGACAGTGCAAAAAGGGCAGTAGTGCAAACAAATATGAAAATAACATATAGGCTAATAAAAAAATGATTAATAAAAATAAAAATAGAATAAAAAATAAAAATATAATAATAAAAATAAAAATAGATTTTTGATAACATTAAACAGGATAAAGGTAATAATAGTAGCCTATTATCAAAAGTAAGTCCACATAAAGAGTTCCAGTATTTGTGTGTTGGAGACAGGAGCGGGTATTGTTGGGTGAACACACAGCAGCACACACACTCCCCCAGTAAGATGGGTTCTGTTCGACAGGGACTCAAAGTTGTTTTGTATGTGTTGGATTATCGGGTAGAATTTCTCCCGGATCTCGGAGTATTTAGTGCACTCGGGATATGCAGCTCCGTCTCAATCAGCTGCTGAGGGCACAGCCGCTTCTCCACCGGCAGCCATGTTTTTTTTTTGTGCGGGCCGTCTTTACGGCTAGCTGATGTCCGCTGCCCGCTTCTAACATGTTAGAAAATACTGCAAATCAAGCTGTCGGTATCTCCCCGCGGTTGAAATTGTTCGTTATTCCGAAAAAAAGAAGAAGAAATATCAGCGCGCAGTAGTTGCTTTCTAGATTATTTAGGCCTATATTCAGCTGTTTTAATCTTGCAATTCTGATAATTAGAGATAATGTCTGTTCAACTTGTCTGTCATTTATTTCTCATTTGCTACTTATTTTATTAATTTGTTGATGTTAATATACTACATAGTCTTGTATATGCATATCTAAAATCCTTTGGCATTCAAATTTGCTTTGAACTTGAAAGAGAGAAAGAATCGGATTTTACCTGTCAGAGCACATTGCATATGCTTTTTTTGAAATAACATTTATTTAACAAATATTTTAGCACATCGAAAGTAATTAAATTACCTGTCTTTTGATTAAAACCTTTATGCAAAAAGATCAGAAAAAAAGGCAATATGCGACACATGACATGCATCGCTCTCATGCCACGTTTTGAGGATAAATTCGCTTTTAGGTGCTGCTTTGAATAAAATAAAACTATTAAAAAGCACATTAAAGAATACTCATAAAATAAAACCTTGATAGAGGAGTATCTTATGAAAAAACACCAATTGACGGGCTCTGCTTTCGGTTTTAAAAGAATCAAGCAGCTTTAAAAATATAATTTGCTGAAGAGAAATGACAGGGAAAAAAAGATTGAACATATCGGGACTGTCAAAAGAACATTCCTCTTTGATATATTCTTTCGACTCCGACAAATCAGCAAAGATTATGAACGACGGAGTGTCCTCCACTGCTTCAGTGGCGTGTCCCGCTGGTTATAAACGAGGAGGCGGAGAGAATGCGCTGCTTAGTTTCGGCTCGATATATTTAAATAAAAACTAACAACGAGCTGCTTATAACGCTCAAAAAGTTAAACTCAAATGCACAACCCTTGTTGGTTGCACCTGCAGGATGCACAATGAACCTAACGCGCCATAATTTTAATTCTATATTCGTGAAGAATGAGCCAACCGCATATGCTTAGTCAGTCCTGTTGGTCGGGACTCTGCTTTATAACTTATTAGTTTATTACAATAATCACACTTAGCTTTGCCATTGTTCTTCACATATAGCCACTCAACACATCTTGCGGTCCATCTTTAATGTTTAGATTATTGAAGGTGCTATTGACGTTTTGAGAAAAAAATTAATAGTACTGAAACTAAATTATTAAAAATAAACTTGCGGGACAAGGCAAGCACATATCTTAGCCGTTTGTTCACACTCTGCCTGTATTAACATAAATGCTGTATTTTAATATAGCTTATTTTGATTAATTAGCTTTAACTGACAGCCTTTTCTTCTTTTTCCGCGGTTATGCGGCATTATATTTCACACGCATATGCAAGGTGACTGAATATGAAAATAAAATACAAAACATACTGAGCCATTAAGTAAAAAAACAAAACAAAACAACAGTTATACTTTAAAGCAGAACATTGACGTTTTGAAACAAAAAAACGGAACTGAAACTAAATTATTAAAAATAAACCTGCCAGACTTAATTTATGTAATATTTTCATTATTCATTTATTTTCATTATTCGTTTATTATTATGTACTATAATTGAAACATAAAATGAGATCGTAAATATAATCAACAACGAAAATGTAAATAAAAACGTAAATTAAAAATATAAATGAACATGTCTAGTCTTAGTTCTATCAAAATAGCAAACACTACATCTCTCTATATTTAGACTAAAAGACTGCTTTATTTATTTATTTATTTATTTATTTATTTAAGACTAATTATTTGTACTGAATGTTTGTGCTTTCATTTTAGTTGTCTTTCATTTCTTCAATTCTATTTTCCAAAACGAATCCTCTTTGCACTTAATAAGTTTACAATAAACCAGGTAAAAAAAAAAATTAAATGTAAGTTGAGGTGATCGCAAGTTCACAACTGTGAGGTGATGTGCTCTATCGGCAGGATAATCTATATTATTTTGCTGTTTTTCATATGCGCACGTTTAAGATTTGAGATTATAACATTGCCATGATAGTCAAAGAAATCAAAACATTATTTTCACCCCAACGCAATTTAATCGGGCACTGAAGGCTAATAACTTAATTCTTATATTAGCTTTTTGACTTCTCACCATGTATCTTTTCTACAGCATAGTATAGTGTAAGAGCATGTCTATTACCAGAAAAACTAAATTAAAATTATATTTTAATTGAACACATCACATCACATACAGTAAGCTACGCCTACAGAACAGTCTGTTTAGCATTGTGAAAAGGCAAAGCTGAATATCTGTGGTTAAAGTGCCACCCAGCGGTCAAATGCTGCTGGCGCATCAAGCACCGCCGTCGCCGCGGCATGAATGGCGGTACAAGGAACACATTGAAGTAGTAACATCTGTATGTGGTTAATTTGTGATTAATTTGATTAACCGCCACACTGTGTGACTAATTACATTTAATATTTTAATCGCACAAGCCAAACATGAGCACAACATCTTCTCACTTCTGTAATGTGAAACAATACATTTAATCAGTAAAGTAAACTAATTCACAAATATCTCTGATGTTACATTTTAAAATCAAAAGAATTTCTGATTTTAACACATGTTGTTTACATTAGGAGAACTACATTTAATGTTATTGTCAGCTGCATCATTAAAAACAACTACCATCATATATGTGCTTTGCAGGAGACCAAGCGTTTAGTGCATGGAAATGTCTGTGGCAAGAACATCCTGGTGGTCCGGAAAGGTTTAGAGGAGGGCACGTCTCCTTTTGTAAAGCTCAGTGACCCAGGCATTTCTCTGTCAGCTCTATCTCAAGGAGGTAAGCTCGTGTTGTTATTCTCACGTGCTCTAGATCGAATCGAGCACATCCTGTACCCCATCTCTGTATCATTTCTCTAGTTACCTCTCTACTATTTACTTCATCAGGTTCTCTCGTGGTTGAGAGAACAGGAAGCCAACCACTTCCTCATAGTGATGTTTGCTTCCTTTAGATCATATTTACAGCAGTGAAGCAGCTGTCCAGAGAACATAAATAATAAATAAGTCATGAATGTTGTGCCGTTCTTTGAGGTCAACCTATAATATTATCAAGGTCTTTACAACAAAAAGATGATAAGCATCTCAATAATAAGCAGTAATAAGCTGTATTATGTCTTCTTTGGACCTCCTCATCAGAATTCATGTTTGAATAGACATAGCAGATTATAGATTTGAAAGTAAACCAATAGTATCTGGATTGGATGCAGACTTGGATTTGCAACCTGAGACTGCATATTTCAGAGATGCAATGTCTGACACAATGCACTCAATGCATCTGGTGACGTCACTATGTGGTTGGGGCTTGGTTTAGGCATTAAAAAGCTTTGCAACTGCATCTGCATCCAGACCTCTCTCCAGTAAACTGATTTGGTTGGCTTACACTTTCATATATATACCATACTTGTCAACATTGGAATGTAAAATCACCGGTTACCCTGTATTACTATTAATGTCAACGTGCTTTCAAGCCGGAATAAAGCAAAAGCATAATTCTCTTTAACGACTCTTGCAGTTAAATCATATTTCAAATCGGCTCTTTCTAATTACACTTTTCATAGAAAGATTAACAGTACAGGAAAAATGCAGGAAACTTAAATATAGATAGAAAAGTTAAATACGGGAGAATCTCAGCAGGTTGACAGGTATGTATATACATTCATCGGCCATTTTATTAGTTTCACCTTTCTAGTTCCGGGTTGGACCCGCTTTTGCCTTCAGAACTGCTTTAATTGTTTGTGGCATAGATTCACCAAGCTACTGGAAATATTCCTTAGAGATTTTAATCCATATTGACATGATAGCATCACACAGTTGCTGCAGATTTGTCGGCTGCACATCCATGATGTGAATCTCCCGTTCCACCACATCCCAAAGGTGTTCTATTGGATTGAGATCTGGGGACTGTGAAAGTTATTTGAGTACAGTGAACCTGTCATGTTCAAGAAACTAGTCTGACATGATTCACGCTTTATGACATGGCACGTTATCCTGCTGGAAGAAGCCATCAGAAGATTGGTACACTGATCATAAAGGGATGGACATTGTCAGCAACAATACTCAGGTAGGCTGTGGTGTTGACACGATGCTCGATTGGTACTATTGGGCCCAAAGTGTGCCAAGAAAATAACCCCCTCACCATTACACCACCACCACCAGCCTGAACCATTGATACAAGTCAGGATGATCCATGCTTTCCTGTTGTTGACACCAAATTCTGACCCTACCATTCGAATGTCGTAGCAAAAATTAAGACTCATCAGACCAGGCAACGTTTTTCAATCTTCTGTTGTTCAGTTTTAGTGAGCCTGTGCGAAGTGTAGCCTCAATTTCCCGTTCTTAGCTGACAGGAGGGGCACCCGGTGTAGTCTTTTGCTGCTGTGGCCCATCCACCTCAAGGTTGGATGTGTTGTGCGTTCAGAGATGCTCTTGTGCATACCTTGGCTGTAACGAGTGGTTATTTGAGTTACTGTTGTCTTTCTATCAGATAAAACCAGCCTAGGCATTCTCCTCTGACCTCTGGCATCAAATAAAGCCCACAGAACTGCCGCTCACTGGAAATTTTCTCTTTTTTAGACCATTCTCTGTAATTCCTAGATATGGTTGTGCGTGAAAATCCCAGTAGATCAGTAGTTTCTGAAATACTCGGACCAGCTGATCTGGTACCAACAACCATGCAATGTTCAAAGTCACTTTAATCACCCATTCTGATGCTTCCCCATTCTGACTACAGCAGATCATCTTGACCATCTCTACATGCCTTAATGCTTTGAGTTGCTGCCATGTGATTGTCTAATTAGAAGTTTGTGTTAATGAGCAGTTGGACTGGTGTACCTAATAAATTGGCTGGTGAGTGTATAATACATATAAGTTTTTAAATTAAAAATAAATAAAAACTAAGCATATTCGTTTTGATAGCTCACATTGTTAGTTTTGTGGTGAACAGTTTATCTGTGCATGTCATTTAGAAAAAAATAATTGCTCTTGTAATCTAAAATAAAAATCTGAAAATGCACTTCCTGTTTGTTTTCAGTTAAATTCTCAAATTACGTCTGTCTGAGGAATTGGGCTTAGCTAACATACTTAACCATGCCCCTCCAGCAAACAGAAATTGTGAAGAGGAGGAGCCTGTTAGGTTGTAATAACTCTCCCCGAACCCTATTCCCGAACTTTCTAAATAAAATGCCTACTTTGCTACATCCAATCAGTTCATAGCAAAAAAAACCAACTACGCCCACTGTTTTCTCATGTAATGTTCTGTTTCTCAAGAAACTGTCACAATATGAAAAAAAACTGTCGCAGATTTCAGTTCATGTGGACTGTAAAGATTTGCATTTGCCATTTTTTCACCTTTATATTGATAGGACAGTATAGTGGCTGGAAATGACGTTGGACTGAGGGTAACGGTGAAGGAGGTTTGCGAAAGGTCAATGAGCCCTGATTCGAATTTGACACGCCTAAAGCACAATTGCGCTATGTGACAGTCGCTATATGCCTACGAAGCTATGGGTGCAGACACACTTTTGCATATTTAACAGTGTTTAATAGATGAAAATGAAAACTGTGTGTCCATCATTGTAAACATCTGCATTTATATTTGACAGCCCACATCCTTCAATGTTTTTATTCTGTAAATGGTAGATTAAAAGGCTAAGTATTTTATGCTGATGTATGGTAATTCAAAATGGTATTTGGTAAACTGAAAACCATGACACAAACTGAACTGACAGTTTTGTGAAGCGTCCCACCCCTAATGGTCATACAGTGGGGAAAATAAGTATTAAACACAAGTATTGTTTTTCTCTGAAAACATGGACTGTGGACTTGAAATTTTCACCAGATGTTAGTAACAACCAAAACAATTCAAATATGCAAAAGAAAACAAATCTAATTAGTTTACAAATGAAGGTATGTGAAATAAAATAAAATGATGCAGGGATAATGTATTGAACAAATAAAGAAAGGTAGGTGTAGAAAGGCAGTGAAAGCCCAGACAGCAGCTGAAATCTCTCAGTAGTTATTCAGCAACCCTCTGCATTGTAAATAAATATCCACTGCTTCAATCCAACATTTACGTTAGCAGAATTATGAAGATGAAACCAGGGTGGACATTTCAGCAAGACAGTGATCCAAAACACAGCCAAGGAAACTCTCAAATGCTTTCAGCGAAAGAAAATCGAGCTGTAGAATGGCCCAGCCAGTCACCTGACTTCTGACACCTGACAGACACACCACTTCTGTACTTTCTCATTGTGTCATTTCATTATTATTTCGCATAACTCATCTTTCTAAAATTTTTTTTTCTGTTTAATTTTTCTGTTTGGATTGTTTAAATTTTTACCAAAGTCTGGTTAATTCCATGTCAACAGCTCTTTTAGAAATATAAATGCCAGGAAAAATCTTGACATGTTCAATACTTATTTTCCTGGCTGTATACTGTTTTTCACTTAATATTATTGGGATGTTTTTATTTTGGAGGTTTGTTTCTTGTTGTTTGATTTCTTTGTGTTTTACAGAGCGCGTGGAGCGAATTCCATGGATTGCTCCAGAGTGTGTTGCTGACGGGACTCGTATAGGAAGCGCTGCAGACAAGTGGAGCTTTGGAGCCACTCTGCTGGAAATCTGCAACAACGGTGATCTTCATGTCAGCAACAGCACATTATCTGAGGTATGGCTCCACCAACGGTCTACATGACACCGCACAGTCTCAGCATTTTCTATAAGCTCTGCTCTGTGTACAGAAACAGCGCTTCTACGAGACGCAGAGTCGCCTGGCGGTACCTTCGTCTCAAGAGCTGGCCAGCTTCATCAGCAGGTGTCTGACATATGATGCTGCTGCACGGCCCTCCTTCCGGACTATTCTGAGGGAGCTGACAGAGATTCAGATAAAAAGTGAGTCGGCTCATACTGTGTGACCATGCACGTGGTGAGGAAGCGGATTTATTATGCTTTTTTTACTTTAAGCTTACATTAATGCTGCTTTTTGAGAATAAAACAATCTGCACAGTGTTATTCTCTCTATTAGTTCTGTTTCTGAACTCCCTTGATTGCTCTGATTCAGCCCAAGTATCCTAAAATAAACTTTTCTATGCTTAATTAGTACACGAGCGGTGACAAAAATAATCCATTCTGCATCAATTCTGAGATTTTGCATCACAAATCCTTCTTGAATTAATTCTGAGCTTAGTTCTAACTGCAGAAGGTGTTCTAGGCTGTAGCTCTAGACTATTCTAGACTATATAGACTATCATTATATACTTAATGAGCTGATGGTGCTCTAGGCTAGATTTTTCTAACAGTAGATAGGACTCTAGGCTAGTCTTTAAGAAAAGATGGTGCTCCAGGCTGGCTTTTAACAGCATATGCCACTCTAGGCTAGTTTTTAAGAACATATAACACTCTAGGCTAGTTTGTAACATCTCAAGGCTAGTCTTTAAGAGCAAATCAATAGTATCTGGATGCAATGTCAGACAAATGCACTCAATGGAGCTAGTGATGTCACTTAGCCGAGCAGGGTTGGGTAGGGGTTAGGTGAGCCCATTTAAAACACTGCATGCAGCTCAGATTCCATGTGCACCAAGTCTGCAGCCAGACCCTTCTCGAGCAAAGAACAGTAGATGGTGCTTTAGCCTAGTGTTTAACAGATGGTGCTCTAGGTCTGTTTTTAACAGATTTAGGCTAGTTTTTAACTGCAGATTGTGCTCTAGGCTAGATTTTAACAGCTTCAGTCTAGTTTTTACGAGCACAGGGCACTCTAGGCTATTTTTATCTGTAGATGGCGCTCTAGGCTAGTTTTATACAGCAAATGTTGCAGCAAATCTATGCTAGTGTTTATGTTCTTTTCTCTCTTTGATTCTTTTATAACCTGTTTTAACACATTTTAATCTGATTTTATCTGTTTTTAATCTTTTCTATTGTTTGTATTTTTTTCTATTTTCTTAAATTTGTCTTTTTTTATTCTTGTTTATGTAAAGCACTTTGAATTGCCACTGTGTATGAAATGTGCTATATAAATAAATTTGCCTTGCCTTGCCTTGCCTTTAACAGCAAATGGTGCTCTAGGTCAGTTTTTAACAGTTCGAGGCTAATTTTTAACAGCAGATTGCTTTCTAGGCTAGTTTTAACAGCTCCAGGCTAGTCTTTACAAGCAGAAAGTACTCTGGGTTATTTTTTTAACAGCAGACTCTAGGTTAGCTTTTAACAGCGGATGGCACTCTAGCCAAGTTTTTCTGAACATATGACGCTCTATGCTACTTTGTAACCGCTCTAGGCTAGTCTTTAAAAGCAAATGGTGCGCTAAGCTAGCTTTTATGAACAAATGATGTTCCAGGCTAGTTTTAAACGGCTCTAGACTAGTCTTTAAGAGCAGATGGAACTCTAGACAAAGCTAGTTTTTACCATCTCTAGGCTAGTGTTTAACTTCCGATGGTTTTCTAGGCTAGTTTTTAACACTTCTAGATTAGTTTTTCACACCATATGGAGCTCTAGTCTAGTTTCTAACAGCTCTAGGTTAGTCTTTAAGAGCAAATCAATTGTACCTGGATGCAATGTCAAACACAGTGCACTCAATGGAGCTAGTGACGTCACTGTGATGGGTGTGGTTAGGTGCGCCCATTCAAAAGCATTGCATGCAGCTCAGATAGCATGTGCATCGAGTCTGCAGCCAGACTCCTTTCGAGCAAATGGTTCTTTAAGCTAGTTTTAACAGCAGATGACACTGTATGCAAGTTTTAAACAGCTCTAGACAAGTCTTTAAAAGCAGATAGCGCTCTAGACTAGTCGTTGAGAGCTGATGGCACTCTAGGCTATTTTAACAGCAGGTGGCACTCTAGGCTATATTTATACTGCAAATGGTGCTATATGCTAGTATTTAACAGCAGATTGTGCTCTAGGCTATATTTAACAGCTCCAGACTAGTCTTTAAGAGCAGATGGCACTCTAGGCTATTTTTAGGGTGCTTTCACACCTAGACTTTTGTTTCGGAACCTGTCTCGTTTGCCCAGTTAGCGCGGTTCGTTTGGCATATGTGATTGCACAAATCACGCTCGGTCCCAGATTGCTTTAATGAGGTGATCTCGGCTAGATTGAAACGAACTCTAGAGTGGATCGATTGTAGGGAGACAGCAATATGATCCGAGTCCGGTTATATCACAGCGTTTTATGGATATGTAATATGAAGAGAGAATTATGAGTAGGGCGGGAGGTCATTCCAGCCATCCCAAGTCTCCTGGAAGTTTCGGGAGTCTCCTGTAAATTCACAGAGACTCTCGGATGCCTGCAAACGAGTGATAATCTCCCGGAAATCGCGCATTTCCCTCCCGGTCCTCAAATACGTCGCGCACCCTTTTCTTTTTAAAAACAGATGATGCTCTAGGGCAGTTTTAAACAGCTTTAGACTAGTCTTTAAGAGCAGATGACACTCTAGGCTAGGCTAGATTTTAACAGCTCTAGGCTAGTGTCCCTGCTGAAAAAAACAGCTTAAACCAGCCTAGGCTGGTTTAAGCTGGATTTTCAGCAAGGGTTTAACTTCAAATGGTGCTGTAGGCTAATTTTTAGCACCTCTGGGCTAGTTTTTCCACAACATATGGGGCTTTCGGCTTATTTTTCAACAGCTCTGGGCTAGTCTTTTAGGAGCAGGTGGCACTCTAGGCTTGTTTTTAACAGCAGATGGTGCTCTAGGCTAGCTTTTTACAGCTATAGGCCTGTCTTTAACAGCAGATGGTGCTCTAGGCTTGTTGTTTACCAGTTTTAGGCTAGTGTTTGATAACAGTTTGTGCTCTAGGCTAGTTTTTATCAGCTCTAGGCTAGTCTTTAAGACTAGATGGCACTCTGGGCTATTTTTTTAACAGCAGATGGTTCTCTAGGCTAGTTTATTTTTACAGCTCTAGGCCTATTTCTAACAGCAGATGATGCTCTAGGCTTGCTTTTAACAGTTTAAGGCTAGTATTTAACATCAGATTGTGCTCTAGGCTAAATTTTAACAGCTCTAGGCTAGTCTTTAAGACCATATGGCACTCTAGGCAGTTTTTTTACAGCAGATGGTGCTCTAGGCTAGTTTTTTTACAGCTCTAGGCCTGTGTTTAATAGCCGATGGCGCTCTAGGCTTGTTTTTAATGACATATGGTACTCTGCCAGTTTAACAGCTTTAGGCTAGTTTTTAACCAGATGTCTTTTATGGATGATCTCAAACTTGCATTTACAGACATAGAAAATATTTTTTTCAAATCTGTGGCAGGTGTTTATTTGTTTTTATCTATCTTTGGTAGTCAGATTTCTATGTGTTTTATGTCTGTGAGCTCAGAAAACTGAATTCAAGAATTTAAACTAACAAAACTATAAAACACAAGCAGATCCTTGTTATTACCAGAGTAAATGAAACACTAACAGCAAAGGCGCCATCCTCTTCTAGTAAGGGGGCATGGAGCAGGAGCTGATTTGCATTTAAAGAGACACAGCATGTTCCATTGCTTCCAATAAAAAGGGTCATTTTTAGTATGAAATAATAAATGATCTGAAAGACATTTTGAGCTGGAACCTTATAGACATTCTTGTGAAAAGAAACTCTTTAAATCATATTGTTGTATTATCTGTGCCATATTACAATGATGATGTTTAATTAAAAAATAGAAATGATAATTCTGTCATTCTTTTTCATGCTCATACAATGAAACCTGACAGTAACCCATGTAGTTTAGGCCTAATTACATTTCGTAATATTCCTTTGAGTTCCACACCAAATGGAAAGTCATACAGGACTGATTGGATGGTGCATTATGATGTAGTTATCATTTTTTAGGCAAAATTGCTGCAGTACACGTGTCTATCAAATTCACCCAACATATAAAAGCGTATTGCAGAGAAAACTGAAATGTGATTGCTAGCCTTCACACTTTCTATAAATGTAGAGAAGATAGAAGAAATTGTGCTCAGATTAGTACCTCTGTAAGCTTGCACTGAAGGTGTGAGGTTATTTAATGCATCATCTCATCTAATGCACAAAAAAACAACTCCGTTTGAGTAGATAAGCTGATGCTGGTGATAAAGGAATGCTGGCTGCCATATAGAAATGAGAAATAACATGTTTTTCATGTTAAAAGATTTTGTTTAAAAAAAGGGGGGAGGGAGGGAGTTAAGAAGAGTGTTAACAAGTTTTTATCACAAAGTCTTCAAATTTAAGGCTTTTATTTTGCGTTTGTAGCAAATAAATAAGTATTTTTTACCTTCTGCATTTGTGTTCTGCAGGCCAAATGAATTTAAATGTTTTGATTATAATAATGTGTGTGTATTGGTATGGATATTTACATTTGTTTTGTATTTGTAACATGTGTGATTGGTTTTTGCGATGCTGGACAAAATCAATGTTGTTTCTGATCATTTAGACTGTAGCAATAGTGAAAAAAAATAAATAAATAAATATATATATATATATATATATATATATATATATATATATATATATATATATATATATATATATATATTTACACACACACACACACACACACACACACACACACAGTTCTAGCTTGTTCCTCAATCTGATTGGCTGATGGCTGTGCGATTATTCTGGAATAACAGCAGTCTTACAGCCTCTTCACTGTTGTGTATTTGTATTTCTCTGCCCACATAGAGTGACAGCAGATCAATAAACTGACTACATTTTGACAAATATTGCAGCTGTTGGACAACATAATGTACTTTTGAGGCTATTTTAGTCGAGAATGTAGTTGTTTAGATTGCAACTATGCAATTTATTTATAAGGATAGTGACTATTTTCAGCACATTGGCGACCATCAGTCTGTCATACTGAGCAAAGCAAAGTGTTTGCTTTGGCTTTTTCGGGGTTAATTATTGTGAAATCACAATTGCAACAGAGAAATACTTGGAAATCTCTGTAGACTGATGGCATTTCAAACACTAGCTCTAATGTGACTGTGAATGAATGACGGAAAAAAGTAGTTCCTCCTGCAGAAGGATTTTTGAGACACTCCGTGTTTGATTTTCTTTTTTATATATACGATTATGTCGTCAAACTGTTGTATAAACAAAATATCACATTAGTAGCAGTGCGATATGGCCATATATCGTCACTGGTGGGACACTAAGGAACTGGGCCTGTGGTCTCAAATCAACACACGCCTCTTACTAGTGCTATATATATATATATATATATATGTATACAGTTGAAGTCCGAATTATTAGCCCCCATGTTTATTTTTTTCCCCGTTTTCTGTTTAACAGAGAAAATATTTTTTTCAACACATTTCTAAACATAATAGTTTTAATCTCTAGTTTTAAGCTCATTTCTAATAACTGATTTATTTTTGTAAGAATCAGCTCTTTGGTTTAAATCATGTTTAAACTTTGGGGATTCGAATCAAAGATTCGAACATGATTCACATAGAATTGTTTAAAGCTTACACTCAACTTTAGTATTTGTCCAGCAAATAGAACGTTTAGTGTAAAGCAGTTCTGTATTATATTATTACGTGGCCAACAATAACAATATAAAAACAGTATCTAATTATTTAATAAGCAAGGTAGCAGTATCTGAAGCTGAGGCATTAACTTATAAAGCACACAACACACCAACACGGATCTTAAAACGAAACAAAAGTTTATTGCTACTCTATAACACAAAGTACTAATCTACGTAAAACAAACAAACGCACATACATACACACACGCACAAGCAGTTTGAGGAGAGTTTTGACTGAGTGGATTTAACTTCTAGCCTTTGCTAAGTTCTTAGCATTGCAACCTGAGAGAAACCATAAAAGCAGAGAATTTCGCTATTCTTTACTACTTAAACATAATTCACACCAGTGTCAGCAATGGATAGAAACCTTGTTTGTGCTACTTGCGTTCTGATGGAATATTGGTTTCATCGACTGGTCCAAAGGGAAATCCCGGCGAAGCTGATTGGTCAGCGTAGCAACTTCAGTGACGTGATGGAATTCCCTTGTCGGTGAAGAGGGGTTTCCTTAGTCGGTTGCTAGGGATACGGATGTTGGACAAGGCGGCGTTCGAAGTCCTTCCTGGGTTCCTGTAGTTAGGATGAGTTTCAGGGTTTGGATGTGTTGACCCGATGGCTTGTTGTTGAAGCGGTTGCACAAGCAGATCGGGGGTCGAGCCGGCAGCAAGTGAAGGTCGCGGTCTGCTCCGTGATGTAACGAGGCTTCCGGCGAGGCGATGTAACGGCCACAGCACGAGAAGAGCGACGTCCGGGCAGCGACGGCGGTGACGACTGGCAAAGATGACCGGCAAAAGACGACAATGAAATTCTTTTGTTCAAAGTTTTATAGGCTTTGGTAGAGGCTGGGTCTACACAATGCTTGTCCAATCAGATAAGGTGCGGGGTGGAGTCACACCCCAATTCTGCTCTCTAGGAGGCCGGGTTGACACCTGGTGTGGGTGCTGCTTTGATAGCATAGTGGTTAAAATAAAGTCTTATAACGTCGACACTTTTCATAGTATAGTTTCTTCATATAAACCAATGCATATGAAATGTTCCTAGCTTTCAATCGATACCAAACATGAAGTATTTCACAAACATTCTGTAGATTTCATTTATCACTAAGGGCTATTACTCATTAACTATCCATAACAGTTTTGTTAAACACATGGAACATGTACACACAAAAATCTACAGAAACATAAAGCAAACATACATTACTCAAATAAACACAGTTTTACTGTATGTCCATTAAACTTTGCAAGCGTTTCTGATCGCTTCTGTGTCTGCCTGAGAATGTGTATTCCTTGCAGACGCCAAAGGACACGCAAACCAAAAGGTACTTCTCAAAAACCGGTTTGGTGGGTTTTTGATTGTAGAGCCTCTTATTGTTTTAAGGTGTAAAGTTAATTAACACGCAACTGTGATGTTGACTGGCTAGTTGTCCTGTGGATTGCCTTTTGCTGGGTGCCTGTGGATTGCTTTGAAAATGAAATCAAAGCTCAGACATTTAGGCATCAACCAATCTTTTAAGGATAACATGGTCTGTGGCTTGTTCGGTTCTGGAACGATCCGTTGACTCCCCACATTTTATATTTGCCTTGATGACAGTAAATAATATTTGACTAGATATTTTTCAAGACACTACTATAAGGACATTTTACATGAAAAAAGAATATGTAAAACTTTCATTAAACATTTTTGAGACACTGCATATAAAATAATAATGCATAAAACTTATTTTGTTAAAATATAGATAAAAAATAGATTTTATAAAAAACATACACATCATATTGAAAATATGATATATTTGATATAGTTTTTTCATTAAAAATACAATAATAAATGATAATTTGATAACTATTAGGCATCTGTCAATGAAAATGTCAAATCATATCAAAATTTGATACATTTATGATGCTTTTTTTATTTATCATTATTGACATTTTTGTCCATTTATTGTTGTTTGTTTAGGTCTTTAACTTATAAAACCCTGCAGAAACAACCACAGAACAATGTTTTCCCTTTTAAATCGCACTATAAAATATTTGGATGTCTCCAAGCTTATCAGCCAGCATATTGCCTAAAAAGCAGAGTATTATTTTTCAGTATTGAGCAGAATGTGTGTTGTTTGTGTAACTGATATGTGATTTGTCTTCTTCCAAAAGATCCAGACATTTCATCGGAGTGCGAGTCTCTTCCAGACAAAGACCCAAGCGTCTTCTACAAGCGTTACCTGAGGAAGATTCGGGATCTGGGAGAGGTCAGTTTACCGCCTGTTCTGCGGTCAGCTCTTACTGTCATTTGTCCGTTTCATCTGATACTCTGCTTTCAGGGTCACTTTGGAAAGGTGATGCTGTACGTCTATGACCCTCACAATGACGGGACGGGCGAGTATGTGGCGGTGAAGGCCTTAAAGCAGGAGGGCGACGGCAGCAGTCTCCATGTTTCCTGGATGAAGGAGATCGAAATCCTCAAATCGCTTTACCACAACAACATTGTCAAATATAAAGGCTGCTGTACTGAAATGGGTAAGAAAAAAAATCTGTGTTGCTGACATTTGTGGGGGTTTTATCTGTAGAGTTGTTTTATGGCTATAGAGAGCAACAGTGCGGTTCTAAAAGTAAAAAAAAAACAACATAATATACACTCACCGGCCTCTTTATTAGGTACACCTGTCCAACTGCTTGTTAACACAACTTTCTAATCAGCAACTCAAAGCATTTAGGCATGTAAACATGCTCAAGACGATCTGCTGCAGTTCAAACCGAGCATCAGAATAGGGAAGAAAGGTGATTTAAGTCACTTTAAACATGGCATGGTTGTTTGTGCCAGACGAGCTGGTGTGAGTATTTCAGAAACTTCTGATCTACTGGGATTTTCACGCACAACCATCTCTAGGGTTTACAGAGAATGGTCCAAAGAAGATAAACTATCCAGTGAGCAGCAGTTCTGTGGGCGCAAATGCCTTGCTGATGCCAGAGGTCAGAGGAGAATAGCCAGACTGGTTCCAGCTGATAGAAAGGCTACAGTAACTCAAATAGTCATGAAGAAGAGCATCTCTAAACGCACAACACGTTGAATCTTAAAGCGGATGAGCTACAGTAGCAAAAGACCACACTAGGTGCCACTCCTGTCAGCTAAGAACAGGAAACTGAGTCCCAAAAGGGGGTCCAACCCAGAACTAGTAAGGTGTACGTAATAAAATGGCCAGTGAGTGTATATATATTCTAATAACATTTAATATTACATAATATTTATGCTTGGTAATAAAAAAAAACATTACTCATGTTCATGTATGATCATCCTTATAAATGAATCTAAAATTGCACTTTAAGAAATAATCAGTTTCTATTAAGTTCAATCATTACATTTCATTTAATTATCTGATCAAATATTTAATATTTATTTAAATCTAAATTGTTTTTGTTTTAATCCGATATTTATATTTTTTATCAAATTTGGAATTTATTATACTTGACTTAACTGTTTTATAATTATTAGTTTATTTTAGTGTAAATTGTGGCTGTTTGTTTTATTTGTGTACTTATTTTTTATTTTATTCTAATCATCTTTTGGTTGATTGATGTAATTATAATTTGTATTAATATTTTTAGATTATTTGTTTATTCATTAATTTTATTTGTATTTTTGTTGGTTTGCTTTACTTATTCTAATAATTTTTTTGTAATATTTACTTGAATTAGTTTTTGCTGAATATAATAAATTATTTGTATATAATTCGTATTTATTTAATTTATTATGTGATTGTTTGTTATTCTTCTTATTGTTTTATTTCATATGCTGAACTTTAGGAATTATTTTAATGTATATTTACATTTTTTACATTCTTTTTATATATTTAATATACAGTTGAAATCAGAATTATTAGTCTCGCTTTGAATTTTTTTCTTTTTTTTTTATATTTCCCAAATTAGGTTTAACAGACTACCTTGCCTAGTTAATCTAATTAACCAAGTAAAGCTTTTAAATGTCTTGAAAAATATCTAGTCAAATATTATTTACTGTCATCATGACAAAGATAGAATAAATCAGTTATTAGAAATGAGTTATTAAAACTGTCATGTTTAGAAATAGTGTTGGAAAAAATCTTTTCTCCGTTAAACAGAAATTGGGGAACAGGAGGCTAATAATTCAGGGCGGCTAATAATTCTGACTTCAACTGTATATATTATAATATATCGATTATTTGATTATAGAATAATGTTAATTGCTTTAAATAATAATATATAATATTAAATAATTAATATTTATATTTTTTAAAACATTAACATGCATGTATTTAAAGTGCTTCCTTTGTGGGTCCCCCAATATAATTTATTTAAAAATATATTTTCCTTTAAAAAAATAATTATTTTAAAATATAATATTTCCACAAATTATTGTTTTACTGTATATTTTAAATTAAATGAATTCAGCCTTGATGAGCAGAAGATACATCTTTTTAAAACGCAAAAAAATGTAATATTTTTCATTCTTTTGACCAGTAATGTACAGTTGAAATCAGAATTATTAGCCCCCTAATAAAACTGCTTTTATTCTAGCTGAAATTAAACAAATAAGACTTTCTCAAGAAGAACAATATTATCAGACATGCTGTGAAAATGTCCTTGTTAAACATCTGTTAACATTCCTCTGTTAAACATCATTTGGGAAATGAAAAGGGGGCTGAAAATTCTGACTTCAACTGTATATCAAATTAGCATATTTTGCAAATAAAATTCCTCCAACTCCACTGCCACCTACTGTAATTTATAATCAAAGACTTGACATGACGGTCAGCATGTTTAATTGATCATTTCATCTACTCATGATGCAGAAAAAAATAAGCAAAATGACCGTGCAATGTTTGCATGTTGTGTTGTTTCAGGTGGACAGGTGGTTCAGTTAATCATGGAGTACGTCCCGCTGGGAAGCCTCCGAGAATACATGCCTAAATACGGTCAGGGCATTGGACAGGGTCTCCTGTTCGCCCAGCAGATCTGCCTGGTGAGACATTAAGACGCTCACACACAGCTAATAAAAAAATCAACTGAAGTATGAGAGTAACTGTAAACAATGTACAGTTGTTAAAGTTGCAATCATACAATTATTCTCATCACAATTCATCTCTCTAATATTAAAAGCCAGCTTATTAGAATTAAAGGTGCCATATACTGCATTTAAGTTAAATTGTCCTCTGAGATTTATATATTAGCCTTATGGTTTCGGTAAGTTAAAAAAGTTCAAAAGACCCACCCCTCACTGACAAAGGTCCAGAATTTGTCCCATACACAAGCTCATTTGTCCTATTTTGATTGATATACCATAATAAATTGTGAAAATAACCATCGAAGAAGGCTTCGTGACCAAGCGGAATCCTCTTTTGGCTGTTGCTTCAGCGTGACAGAGGAAAGTTGAATGTGCTAGCCAGTTTGTGTTTGCCTAATAAATGACAATGTTGTCATTTGTCTTGGTGACGCAGTTCCTTGCCAGGTCCGGATGAATGACCTAAAGTAGGTGTGCATGCAAATGTGTGAGTATCGTCACAGTTTGTTTTGCCTTCTGATTGGCGCGATCTCCACACAGCAAACAATAGTATGCCTTGCTATACCCACACTGTAAAACCCAACAGTCAACTTTATCAAATGAAATGAGTGTAGTTAACTCAAAACTTATTGTAAGTTTATTCTATTCATTTGAAAAGAATTTTGAACTCAGTGTTGACGATAACGAGTAAATTAAATATCTCATTACTAAAACTTAAATGGAGTAAGTTCACTACTCATATTGATTAGTTTTTTAACTCAAATGGTCTAATTGGTTTTCTCAAACAGTTTGAGTTGCCTTAACTTATTTGGTTTCACAGTGCAGATTTTCATTATAGGGCACCTTTAACATATTGCTTTCAGCAGCTAATGAATAACCCCAAAAACTTAAAACTATCTTTTTCTGCAGCAAATTTATGGCCACATATTGAATATTACTGTACTGTATGGAATGCAAAGAGAAAATAGCAGCGTTTCTGTGGGTCTTAATAAAGTCTTAATTCACTTGTTTCTACATTAAGGTTTCAAAAAGATCTTAAGTCTGAGCAGTGAGTCTTTAAAGTGTACATTAACTCAAAATGTATATTGTTTATTTTGCTAGCACACATTGTTATACTTTAGGTCTGCGATTCCCAACAGGGGGGTCGCGGCACACAAGGGGGCCTCAGTGAGCTTTGTGGGGGTTCGCATCATATTTAAAAAAAAAACTTAGCTGTGGACAATTAGGAGAATGATCATGTTGCCTTAGTTCATTTTCTCCCCTAGCTCAGTGGTCCTCACCCACCGGGCCGTGGATCAATTGGTAGCGGGCCGCACAAGAAATCATTAATTATTTCCGTTTTATTTATTATCTGAGTCTGAACAATCTATTATTTTGAAAAGTCTTTTATTTTGAAAAATGACCATATTCTCTCGCTTACGTCTTGGTCACAAGAGCGCGAAAAATTTAACCCAGAAGCAGCAAAATGAGTAAGAAACAGACGTCTTTTGAAAGTTTCTTTGCCAAGGGAAAAAGGCCCAGTGAACAACCCAAGTACAGCCAAGGATTAGATCCGCAACCCACTTGTCAACAAATCAGGTGAATCCACTATGGCTGTGCAAGAAGATCAACTGATGGAGATCGCAAATGACGGCGGCCTTTTAGGGAACGTTCCCATGTCGCGTTTTTCTAGAGTGTGCACAAGTTTGCTGTTTCCAATAGAGGTGCGCGGCTTCCACGCACAAGTGGCGTGACACCCTCGCACCAATGAACCCCGGGCTGCGAGCGCACCATGAGTCACGTGACAAGAATTGACTGATCAGCTTCAGCTTGTATGGAATATTCACACTAAATTTCTCAGACAAACACAGAACACAGAAACACTGCAGTCCTTTGTACTTTTCTCCATAAATAAATATTGTATCAGAGAGTGGCAGCAATGTTTTGTCAGTTTGTCATCCTCTGAGAAAATGGTTGATGGTCGCATAGCAACCTACGAAACACCCTCAACCCCCAAAAATGTCAAGCGTTGACTGGTGCGTGGTGATAAAAAGGTTGAGGATCATTGCCCTAGCTGACCAAATTTGTAATTTGTCCTCCACAAAAAAGAAGGTCTCAAGAAGAAAAAAGAAGGCAAAAGTCTCACTGATTCGCCTCGCAGCAATCCTCACACTAATTGATAGAGCATAACAAATAACAAGCAAGTAGTAAATTATAATAGCCTATATAATATTTTTCCCTTGTAAACCAGTGTGAATACTGATATTTTGGTTATTGAATGTCAAATAGGGTCAATTTAAGGCAAAAGGCTTAGTTTTTCAGTTACAAATGCCCTACTGATGTTTTCCTTTTAAATTTTACATTAGGCTATTTTTCATTCATTCATTTATTCATTTTCTTTTTGGCTTAGTCCTTTTATTAATTCAGGGTCGCCACAGCGGAATGAACCGCCAACTTATCCATCCAGCACATGTTTTATGCAGCAGATGCCCTTCAGCTGCAACTCATCTCTGGGAAACATTAGGCTATTATTTCTGCATAAACATATCTAGATATAGTAATAAACATACTGTTTGTTTGAAAACAACATTTTTTTGTCATCATTACTGCAAATTTATATGAGCGATTATATATGTGGATGGGGGCCTCACAATATTTTACGGGGGAAAAAGGGGGTCACAGGCAAAAAAACGGTTGGGAACCACTGCTTTAGGTGAACAATTAATCAGTGTAAAATAGTCATGGTGTGTGCAGTTTAGTCCTTTCACTTTTGAATTATGCGACGCATGTACTGCGCAAGTTGATGGCACCATCCAGTGGCAGTGCGTGGAGCTTTCTTAAAACTGATATAAGTTAGAGCCGGTGTGCAATTACTTGTATTCTTTATTTAAAATCACTATAATGCAGATTTGTAAGTATTAAATGGTTACATTCAAAATATTTTTGGTGACTATTAATTACTGCATAATAAGGATGTAACAATATTGTAAATACCGTCATACCACAATAGTAATTTTTTTCAATATTACCGTAGGCGCATGACTCAATAAAACTATATTTCTGAGAAAAGTTTTCTTAGGCGAATGAAGCGAACGGGAGGTAGCGGGAACTACAATTTCCATCAGCCTAGGCATGGCCATCATCCTTTGCGGTCTGTTGTCACTACAGATCCAGTTATGCGGAAATGGAGTGTGTTGCTAGTAGCGGGGAAGAAAAAGAGCTGGAAATGATCGAACCTAAAGCGTGTTTTAAATCGGATGTGTGGAAGCATTTCGGTTTCTTTCTAAAAAGATACGAAAAAGGAGAAAAGGTGACAGACAAAGAAAAAAACAGTATGCAGGCACTGCCAGACTGTGGTGAAATATAAGTCGAGGAATACGACTAAAAACAGTCATGGGGACTGCAGAACACAGCACACTTGTTAGATTGATGCAGACATTGACTTGTACCGCAAAGAGACCTCTATCTCACTCATGGCTTGTCCTCTCAAGTGGTGGAAAGACAAAGTACAGCATTACCCCCTGCTGTCAACCTTGGCTAAATCATTTCTCTCTGTCTCAGAAACCTCAGTCCCAAATGAGAGGGGTTTTTTTCTGTTGCAGGGGACATGCCCAGAGATCCCAGCTTTTACCAGCTTATATTTATATGATAATTTTCCTTAAAAAAAAAAACATCTCTATCTAAGTAAGTGAGTGATTAAATGTTGAATGTGATGAGTTTTCAACAATACTAAATTGAAACTTTATTTTTTTTATATGGTTTAATAGTTTTTTGTTATTAAAATTGAAAAACTAAAGTTCCTGTTTCAAAACTTACAGATAGATGGCTAATTTGTATGTCATTGATATGTTCAGTGCTAAGGTAAATAAACACTTTTGGCACTTTTTTCGAGTCTTTTCATTAGTTTTGTTTTTCCTGTAAATTATTCAATAAATACCGTACCGTGCCATTCATACCGAGGTATTATCGTACCGTGAAATTCTGATACAGTTACATCCCTACTGCATAAAATTTAAACTGATTTAATGAAAAATGAAAACTGAGTCAAATAAAAAACGAATACAATGTAAACATGGATAAAAATTAAACACAAAATGTATATATGGATTATTTGTAGCATAATGTTATTATTTGAAATGAAATGCTTTAATTCTTTTCAATGGAAGTTCCTCATAATTAGAAAACCACAGATGTGGACAAGAATCAAAAAGTAAAAACATAAAATATAAAAGATTTATCAGTGTGAAACGAGTTTTTGTGATGCTTTCTTTTTGTTCTACTCCATTTAATTATGATTTAGTTCAATATCAGTATGTCTGTTGAATAATGTTTCTGTGTCCTGTTGTCCTGTAGGGAATGGACTATCTGCACTCCAAGCGCTATATCCATCGTGATCTGGCTGCGCGCAATGTTTTGTTGGAGAATGAAGGGGTGGTGAAGATCGGTGACTTTGGCCTGACCAAGTACATTCCCGAAGGGGACATTTACTATCGTGTTCGAGAGGACGGGGACAGTCCTGTGTTCTGGTAAGATTAAATGGCTTGGGGATGATGGGTAATGTGCTCCCATGTGGAGGAGAACATCCCGCTGGACACTTTTATTAAATAAACATGATCTGTTAATGGATTTATGGCCATAATTCTATTGTGTCACCCAGTGAAAGTATACTTATCTTTCATTTTGATCGATACAAAGAGTGTTAGAATACTGAAATGATTCTGCTGAATGTCATTTGATTCAAAAAAGAACTTGCAGTTTGTCTTTGAATTATTAGGGGTAGTTCACACAAAAATGAAAAATCTGCCATCATTAAGTCACCATTCACTACTTTCTTTCTTCTATTTAACATCAAAAGAAGAAGATATTTTGAGGAATGCTGAGTTCTGGAACCCATTGACTTACATTTTAGGGGAAAAATTAATATGGAAGTCAATGGGTACCTGCTACAAGCATTTTTCAAGATATCTTCTTTTGTGTTCAACTGAAGAAAGAATAAATAAGGGAACTTTCATTTTTGCGTGAACTATCCCTTTAAATCAACCTCTTATTATTTTCTCTCTTTTTTTAGGTATGCCATAGAGTGCCTGAAGGAGAGCAAGTTTTCCTTTGCCTCTGACGTTTGGTCTTTTGCTGTGACCCTTTATGAGATTTTGACTAACTGTAGCCATCGACTAAGCCCTCCTTCGGTACGTTTCCATTTATGACCTTTTTTTTTTAAATCAGATATTAATGTTCAAGTAAAGTTGCACTCAGTAGTGTTTAAAGTGATTGTTTGCACGGAAATAATAATTCAGTTTAAGTGGTAAGTAAAAAAAAAAACATCTGCAAGTGTGGATATTTGGACAAGCCCAAAATCTCACTGACTTCACCAAAAAAATGACATGAACCTCTATCCCAGGGCTATTCAATTGGTGGCCCGCGGGCCAAACCCGGGGCAGTTTGTTCCAGCCCTCCAAATAGTGTGACCAAGACATCAAAAATAAATTTAGTTCAGTCGAAAAACAGCTACTATAGTTATGAAGTGAAGTGTGTCTGTCTGTTCAATACAGCACGAGCTGCAGAGGCGCAGAGCGTGAGTCACCATAAGCGGAGGGTGCGGACAGCCAAAAACATTTGGTTATCTTTAGTAGAAAATGCCTTTTGTACAATGCACTGTAATCATTAATAGGGATGCAACGATTAGCTGATTTCACTATTAACTGCGCTTTAGTTCCTCACAGTTAAAGAATCGTAAAGGCGCATTTCTGTTGCATGTAAAAGTTATGACAAGTTGTCACCTGTGCGCTAGTTTAAAGTTCCAAGTAGGCTATGTACACTGAGGCTAATACGCACTCACACCGGATTAACTATACCAGTGGCCGTTCCCATATCACGTCTTTTCCACTTGCGTTTGTTATTGCTAATGTAAGTATGACAATATGCGCGCACAAGTGGAGCAACGCGCTTGCGACTTTCCGGGCGCACGCAGTAGAAAACATCTCACGGTGAGAGTTGTGCGTGCCTTTCAGTGCAATGTAAACAAAAAATTTTAACAATTATTATTAAAATGCTTATGTGTGCATAAACACAGATGGCAACAACATTTAATCTAAATAGCTACTTACCTAATATAAAGCTTAAATTTACATTAGACGTGATAACCGTGAAACCAGGATTATTCTTCAGACTATAACTGCCAACCAAAATCTATAATTGTTGCATCCCTAATTGTTATGCTGTTCATAACATAACATATGAATGTGTCTGAATGTAGAAAAAGCCATACTTCAGCAATGCACTGCTTTTGTTGTGCAAAATACAACATTTTAAATGTTTGAAAAAAAAAAAGGTCAGTTGGACAATGCAGTGATATTATGTTGTTTTAAAACTCTATATATTAACATTTTAATGTAGAAAAAGCCAACGTGGGTGTCTTTATGAGCACAAATACAGCATATGGGCTTATTTATGTAGTTGTGTCATCACTCATATAGCAAGTCACATCTCTCCGGCCCTTCGTTTGGGATGCTTTTCATGAACCGGCCCCCATGACAAACTAATTGAATAGCCCTGCTGTTGGGCAGGTTCCTCTAAAAGAATAATTAGTTATCATTGCTAGTTATTTTTCACAAATAGTAACTGAGTTAGTAACTGAGTTACATAACTATAAAAGTAACTAATTACCAGGAAAAGTAACTATCGCATTACTTTAAAAATATAGAAATTGTCAAATGACTAATAAATAAATATAAAATATTTTACACTAATCTACACTGTTTTAATGTTCTTGTCATACAATCTAAGAGGCAACCATCAAATGCAACATATCATTTATACATTCATTTTCTTTTCGGCTTAGTCCCTTATGTAATCAGGGGTCGCCACAGCGGATTGAACCGCCAACTTATTCAGCATATGTTTTATGCAGCGGATGCTCTTCCAGTCACAACTCAACACTGGGAAACACCCACATGCTTTTGCATTTACACTCATAAACTAGGGCCAGTTTAGCTTATTCAACTCACCTTCTGTGGGGGAAACCAAAGCACCCAGAGGAAACCCACGTGAACACATGGAGAACTCCACACAGAAATGCCACCTAACCCAGCTGGTGCTCGAACCAGCAACCTTCTTGCTGTGAGGCAATCATGCTACCCACTGCGCAACTGTGACGCCAAATTCAACATATTGTTATAAATATTATCATAAACATTCTTGCCTTTCTTCTCAACGAGGGAAAAGTAGTGCTTATATTTCCAATTTTGCAAAAGATAGCTTTGAACTTGTTGCATTTGCCATCGTTCTGACTCCTGGTCTTTGGTGTGTGCCACTGACTGTGTGTGTGCTTGTGTTTGAACACCCACACTACTTTGCCTCTGATTAGCAAATGATGGAAATGTTATCTATCAAAGCCAATCTTCATGTTCCCAGTTACACAACGTTTACAGACACACCAATCTTCATCACTGGTTGGTTATGCGTCCTGCCCCAGCCCCGAATACACACACCCACCCCAGAGAAAGAAAGGTCCTATGGATGAGAGAGACGCTGCTCGCATGAAAACCAATTCATTGTTCTCAATTATGGATATATATGCGACTTTTAGGGAGACGCAGTGGCGCAGTAGGTAGTGTTATTGCCTCACAGCAAGAAGGTTGCTGGTTCGAGCCTCGGCTGGGTCAGTTGTCGTTTATGCGTTGAGTTTGCATGTTCTCCCTGCGTTCGCATGGGCTTCGTCCGGGTGTTCTGGTTTCCCCCACAGTCCAAAGACATGCGGGACAAGTGAATTGGGTAAGCTAAATTGTTCGTAGTGTATGAGTGTGAATCAGTGTGTGTGGCTGTTTCCCAGAGATGGGTTGCAGCTGGAACATATGCTGGATAAGTTGGCGGTTCATTCGGCTGTGGCGACCCCATATTAATGAAGTGACTAAGCTGAAAAGAAAATGAATGAATGAATGACTTTTATTGTCAGTAACAGCAACAGCATTGTAACAGGGAAACTGTAACTCGTTTCAGTACTCTACTAAATAAAGTATCGCAGTTTATTATTCCCGTCACTGATCTTGATGAGTCTCATTTTCTGTTGAACTTATAAGAAGACTTTTTTTTTAAACTGTTGGAAACCCATTGACATTTATACAAGGGGGAAAAAAATACAATGGAAGTCAGTGGTTACAGGTTTCAACCATTCTTTAAAATAGCTTCTTTTGTGTTGAAATGAAGAAAGAAACACAACCAGGTTTGGAAAAATTAAAGGCTCAATAAATAATGACAGAATTTTCATCTTTTGCCAAAGCCTGACCAAAATTCATTATTCACGGAATATCTTGCCCTTGGTCAATGCAAATTGGATTTGAAACACTCTTTAAGGCCCTATCATACACCCTGCGCAATAAGGCACAGGATATATGTCACAACAAAGATTATAGAATACACAAGACATGTCACTCGCATCTTTTCAAAATGGGGAAAAGTGTAATGGTCAATATAGGGAATAAACCCCGCCTACTAGTACAGGAGAAAATCATCGATCACTATATGGCAAATAAAGCCCGCCTTCTAGTACAGAAGTCAATCATCGATTGCTATAGTTTGACGATACTCTGGTGGAGAGGCTCGGACCAGACATGAGTTTCTACAGATTTTGTGTGATTTGTATGTTTGGAAATAAACTAAAGAGACAGTTGTTGTTTAATTTTATTGGTGATTCTGAATATGAAATTTAGTTCTTAAGCTTGGCAAGCAGTTTTGGAAAAGTTTAATGTTTCCCCCGTCAGACAGAATGTCCAAGCATGCCGCCTGAGAGGGGTTTCAAAGATGGCCGCCGAGTAAAATGACTTGCCTTAAAGGGACTGATTTTTTGCTATTTTCAGACCAGCGCAACTTTAATTTTCACGTTTTCTGCCATGTTGTTTAAATAGCAGATTCATTTGTGCCACTTTGTGAACTTCTGGGCGTGCTGGTCTAAAATGAAGGGTGTGTTAGGTACATTGCTATTTTGAGGAACTGAGACTGCACCATTGACCAACTAAAAGCTGGTCCAGTGCAGAGCGCGTTAGTTCTGCATCTACGCAGGTCCAAAACACTCACACATTGCTTAATACACACAGGATGTACAGCAATACACAAATATCTTTACACATAAAATAATTAAAGGATTAAAATGTTACAAAAAAATCTTATTTTCTACATAAATTTAAAAACCACTGCCTCCATGCCTTCTTCACCTCGCTGGGGCTTTTTTCAGTTAAAGCATGACAATTTGATTTGTACACCATATGGGGTATAAGAAAAGGATATGTGTTTGAATATAACTTAGTTTTTTCACCACACTTCGTTATTATTGTTCATTTATTTGTTTACTAGAAATTAGAACTAAATTAAATCTTTACACTTATAGAAATAGAAACACAATAGAAATAAAACACAATAGAAATTAAACATATAGTGATAGAAAACATACTTAATATCACTCTACACTTTCAATTTATAGTTATTTATTTTGGAAGCTCTGATATCCAAATATGTAAATCTGATAAATACTTACTTGATATTTTAATAATCGCAGCCAAAAAAGCAATTACAAGACACTGGTTACTTCCTGAATCCCCAACAACCCAAGAATGGCTAGAGATAGTATATAATATTTATGTGATGGAAAAAATTACATTCTCCCTTCGACTCCAAATTAACGCATTTAGAAACATCTGGTCCAAGTGGACTGATTACATTAGATTGCTCCATCCAATCTTCATAGAAATATAAAAATATTACTATCTAATTCCCATCCACATAACAAACATTTTTTCAATTTACGACCCATTGCACTCCCCCTCTTAATCCTCTCTTTAAATTAGGAATTCACAGTTGATAAGAACCTAAAGTTGATTAAATAAATAAAGATTTGACCCTCTCTGACCTTTGTATATTTAGTATTGATAATTTTATGTTACCATTTTATTGTTATTTTTATATATTGTATTTGATGAAACTTTTATTTATATTTTTTTATTATTGTGCTCTGTTACTTTAGAGTTTGTAAAGATTGTTTAGCAGTGGGAAATGTATTCTCATAAGTGGAATCATTGTACTGTGTTTATTGCTTCTACAAATAAAAAAAAATAATAAAAAAAGAGAAGAAATTAAACATATAGGCTAATGAATGTCTTCAGTGGAGTAAGTTTCCACCATTTCCTTACTTCACGAAAGTAAAGGAGTAAAGAGGTCGAATGGAGGAGGCTCATTCTTTATTCTCACTGCAGATGGTCTGTTTAACTGTTTTCTCGATATTAAAACATTCAGTTTTTCTCCTTACAAAGTCGCCTTGTAAATAGCAAATGTACGCGCGACTTAACTGACTCTTGAAGGGAATGGGAGATGAGACTCTGATTAGTTTAAAGCATGTTATGTTCAAAACACACCCATAACTCATTTAGAGAATAAGCACAACACTGTTAGACTGTATATTTCCATCCTTAAAATAGCAAAAGTGGATTCGGACACGCTCTTAATGCTTTAGCATCATGCTCCTCAGACTTTGTGACAAGATGGTTAAAATAGAGCTCTTAGTTATTATAAGCTTACACATTATGTAAACTAATTTCACCATTTGTGTTTCATGTAAGAAAGGTACACTATGCTGGTAATGTACTGAAATGACATTTAGTTCTATATTTGCAGTAATTCTTTACTTGATTGACTTATGACTGTGTTTTCCATAGAAATTCTCAGACATGATGGGAACGGTCCACGGTCAGATGACTGTTGTTAAACTGATTTCCCTCCTGGAGAAAAATGAGAGATTACCATGCCCTCCAGGCTGTCCTCGTGAGGTAGAGTGAAACTATACAGCACATACACTACAGTTGAATTCAAAAGTCTGAAATAAATTATATATCATTTTTATTTTTGTATTAAATATTTTCCAAATTACGCTTAACAAAACATTTTTCACAGTATTTCCTATAATATTTTCTCTTCTGGAGAAAGTCCTATTTGTTTTATTTTAGGTAGAATAAACACCATTTGAAGGTCAAAATTATTAGCCCGCTTAAGCTTTATATTTTTTTGATAGTCTACAAAACAAACCATCATTATACAATAACTTGCTTAATTCCCCTAACCTGCCTAGTTAAGCCTTTAAATGTACCTTTAAGCTGTATAGAAGTGTCTTGAAAAATATCTAGTCAAATATTATTTACTGTCGTCATGGCAAAGATAAAATAAATCAGTTATTAGAAAGGAGTTATTAAAACTATTATGTTTAGAAATGTGAAATGGGAAATTTCTCTCCGTTAAACAGAAATTGGGGAAAAAATAAACGGGGGCTAATGATTCAATAATTCACTTCAACTGTATACATTTTTTAAAAAATAAGCGTGATAAACATCTACCCTTTCTTCTGCACACTGATCTCCTGCAGGTGTATTCACTGATGGAGCAGTGCTGGGACTTCAACCCTGATCAACGTCCGTCGTTCTTATCGCTGGCTGAGTCTCTGGAGGAAATTCGAGGACCATACAAACAGCCGTCGTCGTTGCAGCTCGCTCAGCTCAACCATCGCTGACCTGCTCTTTTTTCCCCTCATAGCCTTCAACCACAGCACTTCACTGTAAGCCTGACCGCACTTGGCTTTTCGTGTCATTGGGTCATATTTTTAGAATAGAGGATGTTTATCATATGTGCTGTTTGAGGTTACCTCGCGCTGAAACTGAAAACCAGTGTTTGTGCTGGAGCCAGTCCTTAATGTCCGAAATACGATTACAATGATATAACTTAATGTTATTTTATAGCAGTACATGTGTATTTTTTTTCAGAAGGGTAGGGAAAGTGGTTTGTAGAGAAAAAATAGCAACATGGCAGTCATTTACATGCACATTCTCAACCAATTATGCAGCAGTTTCAATTAATTAACCCATTTATACACTGTAAAACCCAACAGACAACTTTTTCATATGAAATGAGTGTAGTTAACTCAAAATTGACTGAAAATGTAGTTTTTGAACTCTGTGTTGAAGGCAACGAGTTAATTAAACAACTCAACTTCAACTGAAATGGACTAAGTTCACAGTACTCATATAGAATATGTTTTTTTTTTTAACTCAAATGGTTTGTGGCAATCGGTTTCCTCAAACAGTTTAAGTTTTCTTCATTTATTGGGTTTTACTGTGCTCAAATTGCTTTGTTTACTCAATTGGATTAGATTCAAAGTACTCATTGTGATTAGTTTTTGAACTTAAATGTTTTGTTGCAATCGTTTTTTTCTCAAATTGTTTGAGTTACCTTAACTTTTTGGGTTTTACAGTGTGTGTATCCGAATAAAGCCACAGTCACACTGCACTTCACTTAAGGCTAAAGTGATCACCCAATCTATCCCAGTGTTTGCCATCATTTCACCTGGATTATTGAAATGTGAATGCGTGAAATGTAAAAAGTGTAGATTTACAGTAAGCACATTCAAAAATATAAGGAAAATATATCGTACACTCCAAAAACTAGATTAAAGAAAAGATAATAATAGCTGATTTGATTATTATACAAATATTAAAAGAGCACATTTTGATTAGAATACAAATACAGTTGAAGGCAAAAATATTAGCCCTCCTGTGAAATCTGAATTCTATTTCAATTATTTACCAAGTAATGATCAACAGAGCAAATTAATTTTCACAGTATTTCCTATAATATTTTTTATTTTCTTTTGGTGAAAGTCCGATTTACTTAAGTTTGGCTTGAATAAAAGCTGTTTTTAAAATGTATTGTTTTATTTCAGTATTATTAGCTCCCCTAAAGATATATATGTATGTATATATATATATATATATATATATATATATATATATATATATATATATATATATATATATATATTGTTTTTTTGGGGGGTTGAATTTTTTTGATTGTCTATAGAACAAACCACTGTTGTCCGATAGCTTACAAAATAAATCTTACCTAATTAACATAATAACCTTGTTAGGCATTTGATTGCAGTTTAAGCTGAATACGAGTATCTAGTATAAAATAATTTACGCACCTTCACCATGTCAAAGACGACATTAATTTGTTTTATGAATAGGAATTAGTTGCTACAAATATCTAAAACTGTCTAAACATGTCAATTTTCTCAGCACAGATAACATTTTCAAAGGAGGCCTAATAATTTTGATTCAACTGTATATGTGCATGTGAATAAATACAATTCCATAACTAAAAAAAACTAAAGCCACTTTACATGTGAGCCTGGTATGATGTGGTATAATTATACACCATTCTCGGCCCAGAATTTTAAGTATGCTTAAGATGACGGATGGCATTGATACTCTGTTGGCTGGCTACTTGTTTCTCCATAGCTGGTTAAGTGGAAACACGCAATTTCTTTTTCTGTTATTTAATTAAGTAAATATCAGATAAAAGGCAGTCTATCTGATAATCGTCCATATTGCTGTTTATATTACATGGTTGGCGCATTTGTATTACATTCCAAAAAGTTCCGTTATCAGCACCACAGTAGAATATGAAACCCTATCGACATGGAATGGAACAGTGAAGCAAACTGAACCGCTTGGCCTGATACTTTAAAACAGATTAAATATTGTTCACAGCAACATTTTAGACTGCTTTATAATATGGGTTTTGCACATCACCGGGTGTTTTAAGTTGGAAATGACTCTACAAAAGTCTAGAGGATACACTCTTTAGTTGGTTTGAATTGTATGTTTAGGACAATGTGTCGTCTGGAAACATGTTCACTCAAATTAGAATTTTATTTGAGACATACACAGTATCTGTATTGAAAGGCTTATACAACCACCTGTGGCCTTAAAAAAATAATATATCAATAAAAATCCAAGTTATGGATTATAATAAGAAGTAAAAACAAAGACAATTTTAAAGTTATAGCTATCAAAAATAGGCCAAATATATACATTTTTAAACTTTAGATATAAATAATATAGCTATAGAAAATAAAAGAAATGTAATATTTAAAAGAAGCATTTCTAATACAGTGCCTGGAGCATAGAGGGAAAAGAGCGTATCCTGTAGGTGGTTTGTCTAGCCCACTCCCCTACATGGAGCACTCTCAGAAGAACTACACAATATATGACCAGTGTGTGTGCAAAAGTGCACTGAACAACATGCAGTTAGGTATATCATTTAAATCATGCAAAGTGTATCACAGGAAAAAAATGCTAAAGTGATTTAAAAATATTTACAGTTACACATCTACAGTTGAAATACAGTCTCTTGACTAATTGCTGAACGTTTTGAACACCAGAGCATCTTTGTCCATTGTTTTCTAGCATATTCAAATTTTGACTTTCTGACCAAATGTTCAAAGTCAGCACCTCGTCATCGTCATCGCTTCACATTTGTACTGTGTTCATTTTGTTTTCAGCACGCTGTTGTGTAATAATGTTATTTGTAGCATCGTTGTCACAGCGTCGCATGTCATGTTTTTGGTTCGTTTAGATGTCTGTCTTTCGTTCATCTTTCAGTTCAAACACACCGGAGTTTGTTTGTTGTGCACCAGTTTTCAAACGCCACCATTTACACTTCTTCAAATAAACCACACTAACAAAGTTTGCTTTATATGAACCAAACCCCAAAGGGATTTGCATAACTGTAAAAATATTGAAATTGCATCATTTGTGCGTTTTACTAAATATACAGGGTAACAAATGCAAATATGCTCTTCCATTCCATGCAAAATACATAAGGAATTATTGACAATGAGCTTTTTTAGAAATAATACACACCCTAGATGGTGGTGCGGTCACAATAGGTGTGTATTATTTTCTAATAATTCAATAAACCACAGTCATTATTTTTCTTGTACTATAATCTCCACTCTTAAAAATACATTGTTCAGATGTTGTATTTCAACATATTTGTCAGGTTTTTGTCCTCAGACAGCTCCTATGTTTGGCACTAGTTTCTTACACGTTAAGCAAGGCTTTCTGTTTTGTTTTGTTTACATTTTTGCAGGTTGTGAAGTAACTGAAATCAATAAGCGTAGTGATATGAAATTGTAATGCCGTCAAAACCCGGCTGGAACTACTTTAGCTGTGTGTTTATATGAAAATTACTACTTTGAATGCTCATCAATCGATAAGTTTGCATTGGTTATAAAACATAGTCCTCCACTGAATGAAAGAGATTCCAGCATCAGCATATGTCTTCTGTTGGTGAAAAAAGGTGACCTGAAGTGCTCAAGTAACAAAAGTATGCATGGTTGTGGCCATTTATCATTCCTTAATCAAAATGTATCATATTTGTGTGTAAATACTACAAGGTGTTTTGGTTGCTTTTAAGTTTACTTCCTCTTTCCCCATTCCTGCCAAAATTGGGAGTAAACCTGTGACAGATTTATGGAAGGCCTTAAAATATAAATATATTTGTTTACATCCTATATGTTTATCCTATATATTCCAGTTTGAATGTTTATTTCTTAATTTATACATATTTCCTTTTTAAGAAAAAGTGCAATTCTACTCTAGTTTCTAACCTTTTGTACAACATTATTCTGTGTGAAATGCTATAGCCTTACTATTCCACTGAATGTATCTATTAAAACTTCTTTAATAAATGTAATTTTTAAAGGTCTATACCAAAATACATTCTTATCAAATGTGTCTTGCATTTTTTTTAACCGAATGCTTTTGGATTTTCATACACTCAAAAGAGAGTCAAGTCAAACTTAATCTGTTTTGTGAATGAGTGAAACACGCAGTATGCTAATGACAAGGATTCATTATTATTATTATTATTATTATTATTATTATTATTAATATTATTATTATTATTATTAATTAGTTTTTGGACCATCTTCTGGTAAAATAACATTTCTTTCTGGCCACATATGCTTGACTTCTCCAGTTATTTAAAGTGAATTTTTTTGTTCCTAAAAGCTGAAATCTGATACATGCATATGTAATAATGTGCTCTGCATTTTTCTTTTAAAAAACAAAGCATAGAACTGAAGTAGAGAACCTTTTGGCCAGTTTTTGATACTTTGCCTCAAAATAATTGACTAGATTTATTCTGATCTGGCAACCCACTGTATCACTTTTTTTTTTGCCATTATCAGCATTGTAAATCAAGGGTTCAAGGGTCATGGTAGAGTCAGTAAAAAGTACACACACATGCTTATAGTCTTGTCTCTTATTCAAGTTTCAGGAGCAACAAATAATTGACTTCTAGTTGATCAGTTGGTATCAGAAGTGGGTTATATGAAAGGCAAAGACCTCTAGAATATGCCAATTTTACCAAAACAAAATATGATCATGCCTTGATTTTTAATGATTTAATTAGGGCAGTATGGTCTGACTTTGCTTAGACAAAAGTCTTGTCACTAAACATAAATCATGTACAGTATAGAATATAAAGTCATGGTGCAGTGGAGAATGAAAATTGTGTTTGACTCTCATGAGCTTGGAGGAATGCATCCATACATCTCTGCCATGACTCAAATCACTTATTAATAAAGTCACCTGGAACGGCAAAGAAAGCGTTCTTGCAGGACTCCCAGAGTTCATTAAGATTTGTTGGATTCATCTTCAATGCCTTCTCCTTCATCTTACCACAGACATGCTCAATGATGCTCATGTCTGGTGACTGCGCTGGCCAATCCTGGAGCACCTTGACCTTTGCTTTTAGGAACTTTGTGGAGGCTGAAGCATAAGAAGAAGCATATCCTGCTGAAGAATTTCCCCTCTCCTGTGGTTTGGAATGTAAGGGGCAGCACAAATGTCTTGATACCTCAGGCTGTTGAAGTTGCCATCCACTTTGCAGATCTCTTGCACACCCCCATACTGAATGTAACCCTAAACCATGATTTTTTTCTTTCACCAAACTTGACAAATTTTTATGAAAATCTTGGGTCCATGCAGGTCCCAATAGGTCTTCTGCGGTATTAGTGATGATTGGGATGCAGTTAAACAAATGATTCATCTGGAAAAAATATACTTTCTGCCATTTTTCCAAATGATCAACTAGAAGTCAAGTTATAATTATACATGACTGAAATAAATTATTCACTAATCAAAATCGTAATAAATTTGAACATTAAAATGAACTAATTTTTAAGAAATTAGAATAATAAATCATTAATTTAAAATTAATAGCATCTGATTAAACTAAAAAAAATCTAGGTGTACATAAATACAGTAGTGTATACATAATATTTATACAATATGTTTTGTATATATACAAATAACAACTATAAAGATGTTGTTAAAATTTCATAATAAATAACTGCTGTAGAACAGTTCAGAAGCGAAATTTTAAATGTATATTGATCATACACATTTTGTTGAGTTATTAGTAGGGCCAGACAGAATCTGCGGACATTTTTTTTAAATCTGGATGTATATGAAGTCAATTTGAAAGAATAGAAAGTAAACATTAAACATATGAAACATAAAATAAAAACTTTATAAAAGGCCTACAATGAAAATCCAGTTAGAACCTCAGTTTGTTTCATAAACAAAGTGAGTCTCTCATCTATATAAAAGACAGCATTATTATTCAACAGCATTTCTGAAAGTAAAGATGCAGTAGGGGATCTGCTTAAATGCTAACTGGTTAGCATAATATCTTTCAAATGCAATCCCTCCCCTGCTGTCCAAAGCCACACCTAATGTGCAAATGCGCACATTAAAGGTGACAGAGACCCAAACGGGTGGGCAAACTCGGTCCTAGAGGGCCCGTGTCCTAGCTTGAACACTAACTAAACACACCTGAACATGCTAATCAGTGTCTTCAAGATCACTAGAAATCTATATTCAGGTATGTTTGATTAGAGTTGGAGCAAAACACTGCAGGACATCGGCCCTCCAGGCCCGAGTTTGCCCACTCCTGCACTATAGATCATGTCATTTGCCAGTTAGAAAACGTTATAGTACTTTATAATACTTCAATTCCCAACGAAAAACTGTATTATATCTAGCACACTTTCAGTTATGTAGCAAGCAAAATTTGTCATCACTCTCTCATCAGTCTAACTCTCTCTCTCACATGCTTTGTCTTAAAGTGACTACTAGTGCTTGGCCGACGGGCTGCAGGAATTACACTTGTTAAGCCATACTTACATGTTATTTCAGACCAAATATTTAAAGCAGCATGGTTAACAATATAGGGAGCACTTCACAGGTTGTCATTGCTCAGAAATGAACCGATGTGATGTGTAGATAAAAGCAGCTTCAGCTCAGTAAAGCAGGCTAGGCGGAATAGCGCTATTTACTGATGTTTTGTTGTTAAACTAAATAAAATCTACAATATCGATGCCATACAAGGTACCTTATGAAATTAAAAATAGTCACATCAATCTGTCACTAGAAGATTTCAGTTGCTGAAAAACACTTCTGTGCAAATAACCCATTCATAAAACACACAATCGACATCAGCTTTGCGTTTAAAATAGTTTTACAACAGAACATTACCAATAAATACTTCAGCCATGGTGTAAAAGTAACTGTGACTGTGGCCCGCATTAAAGTGCAACCGCTGATCTGCATGAACAGAGGTGCGCAGTTGTACAAATCTACATTTGCTGACAGACCGTTTTGGCTACTTATCAGAATTATGGTAATTATGGGCCCGACAATATTTCATTGGATGAACATTTTTTAGTCTTATGCCTTAAATACATATAAACACATTCAGTTCGCTTACTTTATTCATTACTATGTCGAGAAATGTAAAACCAGTTCAACAACAAATGTTTCTAGACAATCACCTACAGCACTATTAATTAAAATTAATTTATTAAATTAGTAAAAAATGTACTACATTTTTATTTAGATAAAAATTTAATAAGTAAATAGAAGGATTGAAAGCGTGTGGGCCTTCTCGTGTTTACATTTGAAATGGGATGAATTTGATTTAAAGCAGAGATGCCTAATATAGGGCCCATGGACCAAAGTTGTCCCAGTGTAACTTTTGATTTGGCCCACCATCCTAACTAAGCAGAGAGTAAGAATGATGGAGAGGATTGGGGCGAATGCCTTTATCAGAGATCGTCACTTCTAATTTGACGTGAACCTTTTTTATTTGTTTGTTTTATTGCTAAACTACAAAACAAGCAAACTGAAACTGTTTTAATTAGATGTTGTGAATAAATCAGATTTTATAAAATGTAAATAATGTCACTGGACTATGCAGAAGACATCAAGGCAAAAACTAGAGGAACTCCATTTGGTTATGAATGAGATTGTTTTTGTTTCTAATGTAAAATGTTCATTATAAAAAAGCAAAAAGATTGTACTTTATGTGTTACTATATTCTTAAAAACGTTGTTTTTAATCTTTGTTAGGTTATTTATTGAGTTTGAGTTTAATATTTGGTACTTTATTAATTTTAACCTTTATTGGGTTATTTATTTAATAACTCAGCCAGCTGGGTTAAAAATTTAAATTTCATTAATCAACTGATTTAAATGACACAAACGAGCTGTATTATGCATGTGTATGGTGTTTTTGCCTTTTTATTTTATGTTTAGTTTATTTAAGACATTACGGTAATAGTATTGTTGTCATTTTTTTAATCAAATTACCTCTTTTTTTTTGAGTTTCGAGTTTTTTATATCCCTTTCACCATCCAAGACCATCTTTCAGAAGTGTTTGGATGTGGTTAAATGTATTGTACATTGTGGACACTGAGTGAAGCCTGCTGCAGCTGCTACAGCACACAGAGCTCCATATTCTGCTCCATCAACACATGATTTTCTGCTTGCAGAGTTTATAACTGTCTCTACTTTGTTCTGTTTCTTCATTGTTAGTAATTCTTGATTTATTTTAACAAAATGCTATAATAACCTATAGTTAAGTTATATGTTGGGGTGTTTGGTTTTAACCCACAGTATAAAGCAATGTTTTCTAGTCATTTTTAAATATCATTAAAAAATTAGGAAATCACTCGTGGCAATTATTTACCATCGCCCACTAGCCTCAATCAACTTTGGTTTTTGGCCCTTCATAAGAAAAGCACCCCTGGTTTAAAAAAACGATGTCTACGATGACCTGGCAACCCAGCTGTTGTGTGTTCAAATTTGACTCGTGACTCGGTTGCCCCGCCCCTTACACCGAAAAAGAAAAACGCATTTCCACTGGGCCAATCAGCGAGCGCGTATCCAGCATGTGTGTATTGTTTAAACTGGCCAAAGCGAACGAGCAAAGCCAGCGCACAAACTTCCACACGGAGACATGGCGGCCGCAGTGTCCGTTAACTCAGCTGCCAGAGACGACAAATCCTTCACTGGTGCGAACTTCACCGCGAATCCACTCTACAGTAATTACGACCAAACAGCGGAAATTGAAACCTGGGGCTTTGAAACGGCCAAAAACACTGAAGCGGAGGACGAGTGTTCACCGACGGGCAGCGACTGTCCGCGGCGGCTCGATGATGAACTGACGGCCCTCAGTCCAGAAGAGATTGCCAGTCGTTTGGAAAGGACGAGAAGAGAGTTTTACAACCGGCGGAAAATCATCATCAAGAATCTCCCCGCCGATATCAGCAATCAGGTGTGTAACATTAGTTTTGGGTAACTTTGTGTGAACTTTCTAAACAGCCCGATTCAGCTCCAGTTTTCACTTATCGCTGACTCAGTAACATGGACTAGATTTTTAAAGTGTTTTTTTTAAACGTTGTTTATTGCGTTTAAGCGTGATTGTCTGATGCTGGACACTCGGCTATCAGAGAGATGCTTTGACCAGTCCAAACCTCGTGTCATCGCAGCCATTAAAGAGCCTTTGGAACGGGATGGAGTTGTGTAATCTAACGTTAGTTGTATTGATATGATGTATTCGGTTGGTCGGGCTGAATGCCCGGATGCTTAACCTGCCATATGAACTAGAGTTTTAACTCTAATTAGATATGCTCTATAGTTAGATATTGCAATATAACGTTAGTTCTAGTTAGATATTGCTGTATAATTAGATCTAGTAAAATATTGCTATATAATTAAATCTAGTAATATATTGCTATATAATAAGATCTAGTAATATATTGCTATATAATAAGATCTAGTAAAATATAGCTATAATTAGATCTAGTAAAATATAGCTATAATTAGATCTAGTAAAATATTGCTATATAATTAGATCTAGTTAAATATTGCTATATAATTAGATCTAGTTAAATATAGCTATATAATTAGATCTAGTAAAATATTGCTATATAATTAGATCTAGTTAAATATTGCTGTATAATTAGATCTAGTTAAATATTGCTGTATAATTAGATCTAGTAAAATATTGCTATATAATTAGATCTAGTTAAATATTGCTGTATAATTAGATCTAGTAAAATATTGCTATATAATTAGATCTAGTTAAATATCGCCATATTATTAGATCTAGTTGGATATTGCTGTATAGTTAGATCTAGTTAGATCTTGCTATATATATTTAGTTCTAGTGAGATATTGCTATATTATTATATCTAGATGGATATTGCTATATATTTAGGTCTAGTTAGATATTGCTGTAAAGTTAGATCAAGATTTTGATATTGCTATTTATTCGCTTATTCATTTCTTTGTCTGTTTTCTGTATTTAGTTTCCTTCTAAAAAGTTTTGCTTAATTTAATCTAGTAAGAGTGATATTTTTATTTTTTTAAGCTCTTAAATCGAGCAATAGTTTGTATTTTAATGTTATTTATTCATATTAACCATGTTTTTTAGTATATTAAAATCAAATTAAAAGTTTTAATAACTTTTTTTCACCAAATACGTGTAGGCATGGGCTGATTTACGTTTCTGACGGTATGATAACCTTAAATAAAAATATGTTGGTTTCATGGTATTGTGATAACTGTTCTAAAAAGTAATTTTTTAGATGTCTGTGTAAAAAAAAATACGGTTTATACGTAATATATTTTATTTCGAGAAACATTTAAAATATTTTGTACCAGTAAACAAGTCAGGCTAAATAATTTTCTGTAATTTTGATTATTTAAATAATTTAAAATATTTTTCTGCTGGAAACACTGTTGTCCTATAAAAAAAACATGAATATAACAAATCTTACATATACCATAGGAACGTTATAGCAAAACATTTTGGTGGTTTTAAAAACTTGAGAAACCTTCCAAGCAGCGGTATACCTTGAAAACAATCTAAATATGAGTTTGATACTGTCACTAGAATAATAATAACAAACGTTAAGCATTGTGAAGTACTATGCTATAGGATTAAATATAGAGTGGACTTAAAAACAAGGTATCTGGGCCTAAAAAGTAACAACCATGGCTATTATTAGTGTATCACAGCTGTACAAGATTTGTGGTTCTTTTATAGTTAGTCTGGTTAATAATATTATTCTACAAAAGCATTCAGAGAAGGTTTATCACGTGTTATGGTAAAACTCAATCGTTTTAGCAGTATCTATTGTTTGTTAAATGTTGGACAAAAGGGTAAATATTTTAAATCGTGCTTTTTCTGTCATTAAATTAACAGGTCTAATACTAGAGTGTTTTTTTTTTTTATCCAAGTAACATCAGTAAAATAAATAACTAATTTATTTTTGATTTATTTCTTTGATAAATCAAGACTAAGTTCATAATTCTTATGGGCTTACAAATGTTCTTCATTCTGGGGTAGGCATGGGATGATAGCCCAGAAAAGTTGAGGTTTAAAAAAAAAAAAAAAAAAAAGTGTGTGTGTGTGTGTGTGTGTATATATATATATATATATATATATATATATACACATACATACATACATACATACATGCATACGTACACACACACATATATATATATATATATGTGTGTGTGTAATATAATATAATAGTTTTTATGCTATTATAGTAGTTCATATAGGTCAGTTGGTTCTTGTTCATTGTGTGTGAGGTTTCTCTTAGGAAAATGCTTGATTCATGGGGAAAACGGGTGTGTGTGTGCGCGCGCACGGCTGTGGTATTGTTCCAGATTGGAATGGGAGCAGTGAGGATGTCAATGGACAGAAGGCGCTGAAACAAAACGCTTTGCTTTCACTGACACTAAAAGAAAATGCTGGTTCATATTATAGTAGCATGTTAGGATGCCTAAAAGCAGAAGAGGCCTTTTTTTGTTGTCTACAGTTAATTGGTGAATCAGTCAGCCTTAACCACTGAAAGAAAGGTATTTGTGAACGTTCAGAATGAGAGTAAATGCAAATGTTACAGGATAGAGCCATTCAAGTGCCAGTCATCATGTAAAATGCAGTATACAAATATTTGTCAGTGACTGAAATCTTGCTGTTTTTTTTGTAGGAGGTTCATGAGCTGTTGGGCAACTATGATTTAAAGTACTGCTTTGTGGACAAATACAAAGGAACAGGTGTGTACGACTCCTTTATCACATGAATGCGTGTGTTTTTTTTCTGCTGTTGAAGAGTGTAGTGTCTTAATGATAACATCGACTATCATGTGTTAATTTCTAACTTGCTTGCTTTCAACAAACTTTAGAAAGTCTTTTTTTAAAGCATATGTATATGCATTTAATAGAGTTGATGGTCAAGCCATATATATTTTTTTCATTTGTTTTTGTTTGTATTTACATATTTTATTTTATTTAAGGTTTGTGTCAGAATCATGAGAATTGCAATGGTTTCCTCAGAGTAAAGAATGTAAATGCTTTTAACACTTAATTTTTTTCTTAAGCCCTAAATAATAATAATAATAATTATTATTATTATTATTATGTTCCTTAGAGACTGTTTGACCAATTCAAGATTGATCTTTTTTTCCTTGCTATTCAGCTACAGTATGATTTAGGCTAGCCCTGAACAATATATCGTTTTAGCATCAATATTGCAATCTGTGTATCTGCAATAGTCACATCGCAGGATTAGATTATTTATTAAATTAAAAAAATAAAGATATAATTTTTTTTTGTAGTTATTTATACAAGGATGTCCATGTTATTTTACATTTGATTGTTCTGTATTGAAAACTGTTTGCCTCCCCAGACCACCATAAAGCACTGTTTACTTATTTAATTCAGCTTGTAATTCATTATCTTTTATGCCGATGCACTGCATGCAAAAAAATGAATCATACCAGTGCATCTAAATTAATGAAATCTTTTCAAATTGAGCTGTTTAATTCACCTGGTGAAATTCACCCACCATTTTGCCACCTTAAAGGGCTTCAGACTAATTATATAAACCCTACAGCAAAACGAAGTATCACAATATTTGTTGTAATCAAGTTCTGTTCCAAAGCACATGGCACAAGAAAATCTTTGCAGATATTTTATACACTTTATTAAACGTATGAACTTTTAAATATTTCTTAGCAAATTTAGAAAACTCACTGAAAGATGCTTGTTTTTTGTGCCAAAATGTAAACTTCAGTTTTACAGATGTCGAGACAAATGTCTGGTCTAAAAGTGCAAGATAAGTAGTAAACCGCCAATAATGGAGAATGAAAATGAACCCTGTGATCACCATTGAAACCCATTTTACTGGACTGCTCTGCTTTTATTGATTCCAGAAGGATGTTTTTATAAATTATCTCCATTAAGAGGATTTTTAACAAGGTGATGCCAAGTAAGGCTGCACTATAATGGAAAAAATCTAATATGATATTTTATTTTTCTTCAATAAATGTTGCGATACGAATACTGTTTTATAACATGGTTTTAATAGCTTAAATTTACGGTTTTCTGGGTAGTCTAACAGTATTCAGATACCTGAAACTAAATAATTACAGTGCAAAAAACAAAATGCTTTTGTTTTGTCACTTTTCTGGTCCAAATATCTAAAATTTCTTGAGTAAAAGTATTTTCACCTTCGGAAGAAATTTTCCTTTAAAATAAGCAAAATTATCTGCCAATGGGCTGTGTAAAATGTTATTTTTGCTTGGAAACTAGACCAATTAAAAGAAACCACTTTTTTTTTTTTGCATAATTTTTTTGAATAATTAGATACAACTTTGAATATTTCCCGCCAGGTTTTAATGAACTTGCAATGTTGTAACTTGCAATAAAAACCGCTTGTAAAACAATTTTGATCAGTTCATGAGATCGGCCAGATTAGTGAGTACCGATCGATTCATGAAAGGTGATTATTGAGAAGGGTGCGTGACTTATTTAAGGACTGGGAGGGAGACGCGCGATTTCCGGGAGATTATCACTCGTTTGTGGGCATTATTAGTCCCGCAGATGCATAGAGACTCCCAGAACTTCCGGGAGACATGGGATGTCTGAATATCACGTTTAACAACTGTAGTGAGACGCGATCCAGCGGTGCATCCTTGATAGACTGTCCATCGTGCACTGCTCTCTGGAGCTCAGAGGAGCGCGTGTGTGTGTGCGCGATCACGTGATGTGTGTTTTTCGCATGCGGGTTTGCGATGCTGGCCCAGTATCGTGTTGTCTATTTGGGCATCAGTGATAGACAATAGCATCGTCTATCGGCCCGACCCTAATTCAAACTATGTTGTAAAACTATTTATATTGCAATATTCATCCCAGAAAAATAAAACATCGCAATATCAGATTTTTCCAATATAGCGTAGCCCTAAATTGTAACGTTTACAAATATCCCTTTATTTTATTAAAGGGCCATGAAACCCCCTCGTTTCAGCAGGGTGTTTTCACACCTCTACTTTGGAAAAAGTCAGAAAGTGGGGGTGTCCAGCTCTGTTTAGGGGGGAGTGTCGGAGGAAGAAAAGCGGCTTGGTGTGGGAGTGTCTATTTGGACGTGCTGAATTTCAGAGTCAAAACACACAACCACAGCGGACAATGTGACTGTGTTTACATGGGCATCTGTAGTCGAATTATTTGCCAAATTATTAAATGGTGGACTTTAACTGCAGTTTGGCTCTTTCATTCAGGGAATTCATTCATGTCCCTCCCGACAAACGAGATATTTGATTCGAGGAGCTGCTCTAAGCGTGTATTTTTCATGCAATGTTTGATACCGCACGGCGAATGAGAGAAAAAAAAAACCTCAGCATTTCCCGGAAACTTAGATGCACACGGCAGGTTGCGTCAGAAAGCCGCGTGTGTTATTCCGGTCACAAAATCCAACACGAGGTTATAGTTTGGTTGTAACTGTTAGTGCTAACTTGTTTACACTGGTGCAATAGTTTGTTTGATACGAATAAAATACAAACTGAATAAACAAAGAGCACTGGTCGCTCACTTACCAAATCTGTAGAGACAGGACAATCACCAGCAACTAGAGCCGCGTCTTTATTAAGAGGAGACTACAAGCGAATCCGGGATCTCGGCGTTTGCAGATGAGAACAGCTCTCAGGTAAACAATAATCCTCCTTAGACACGCAAGTTAAGTTATTGTTGTCGAGCGTCGCGTACACTGTTAATCCACACGTGACGCGCTCCCATAGAGAGAAAATGAAAAGGAAACTTAACTGCAGCAAACAATAAAAGCAACACTTCACGCTTGTTTTGCCAATACAACGTGGCGTCTCTGCTGTCTACACTCTGACAGCAATGAATATTAATGAAGTTGCACAATAGAGCGCGCTGATTGGTTTGAACCAAGCCTTACTCATGCATTAATGCAACACACTGTAAGACGTAATAAGACTCACTCTGGCACAGACGCCCAGTCTGCACGCTGGAATACACGCTATTATGTCATGGCCGTGACGCAGCTTCAAAAAATCGTTTCAAACCGGAAGTATGAACAACCAATTTACACTTTTTATTAAAATATATGTGTCTTAATAGTGTTTTTAGCAGTGTGGGACACATATACGACTGTCAACAGCTCAAAATGTGTTTTGGTGCTGTCACTTACAGTCATTCTTTTTTCCTTCCTGTTCAAGCCTTTGTGACGCTACTGAATGGTGAGCAGGCCCAGTTTGCCATAAAGGAGTTTCACCAGTATGTTCTCCGTGACCGTGAGATCTCTGTGCAGCTGCAGCCGACGGACGCTCTGCTCTGCATCGCCAACCTTCCCAGGGCGTTCACTCAGCAACAGTTCGAGGAGCTAGTTCGGCCCTTCGGAAACATTGAGCGCTGCTTCCTTGTGCACAGCGCCACCACGGGCCACTCCAAGGGATATGGCTTTGTGGAGTACATGAAGAAGGATTCTGCAGCCAGGGCCAAGTCAGAGCTCCTGGGGAAGCAGCTGGGATCACGTATGCTGTATGTGCACTGGACGGAAGTTGGCTCACTCACGTTTACAATGCTGCACTCGCGCTGCCTCTGTGTGGACCGACTACCTCAACACATCCTCACTGCTCAGGATCTCCGCAATGTGCTGACTGACACACATGCTCCCGTATTCTGCCAGGTTGGTGCATTTGACCCGTTTGATTACACAGAACATATTTTTTTACGCTCCATTCATTGCTCTTCCTTTGTGTCAGGTCTCACTGAGCCATTCAGTAGCTGCACCTCTTTTTAAAAATGGCTAATTAGATTTTTTTTTATATCCGTGCTCCAGTAGGAGTCAAGTATGTATCACGGCAGCCTGGAAACCTCCATGTGGGAGGGGTTACGCTGACCTCGAAGTAGCAGCCAGGGACTTATTTCACAAGTAGGCTTGGTTCAGGCTTTATAGGTATATTAGATGAAGGCCTATCACGATAATCAACATATCGACTTATCACACAACACTGACTGCTATTTTCATGCCTGTTTCTGTATGGAAATGGCCTAGTGGAAAAGGATAAGCAGGCAGTTACATATTTGGCAGTTCTTCATGTCATTGTGCCTTTTTTTTAAAGTAGCAGATTGCAAGATTGTGACCAACTTGCCTTTTTAATTATTTCTTCTGTGTCTTGAGTATTAATTTGAATTGGTGAACCAATCTCCACCCCCCCTGTTCTCCGTAGCGCTTATTTACCTAATTATCTTGTGGAACATTATCTGCCTTCTGCAATATTATGATGATGAAATCTACAGTGCTTGTGAATTTACCGCTAATGAGAAACTGGAGAAATTCCACCTTCAAGCTGATCAGCCACATTAGCTCAGTATTTCCACCAGTCTCACAAAAAATATAAAACAAAACAACTTGGGGATATTTATTTGTTTACATTTTTTAGGATAAACTCTACTATAATGAAATGGGTACTCCAGGTCAAAGCATTTTTGTGTATTAAGTTACTGGATTTCCTTCTCCCAATTTTTAGTGAAATATAGGTGTCTTAATAGTGTTTTAGCAGTGTGGGACACATATACAACTGTCAATAAATAAGGTTTGTAAATTTCCATATGATTTGCTTCTCTTACTGCAAAAGCAGTTTTATTTCATCCTCTCTACAGACATTTATCCACTTCAAGACTGACATTTATCCACTTCAAGACTGACATTTATCCACTTCAGATGATGAGCTTAGTAATGACATTAAGTTGCAGCTTTTTTTAGTTATGTTTGATGTTAATACCTAAATCTGTTTATTTTATTCAGTTATTTACACACCCTAATCTTTCTCCAAAAATTCTTTGATTAATTCCTGAAACAAACCTGCCATATAACATAAAAACTTAGGATGCACAACAGTCCTGTGGCACTTGCTGTTCAGTATGAAATGTCATTTTGAACCTGCAGCCCTGAAGAGCTTAGTTCTGAACCAAAGGGTGTATTCACACTGGTCTTTTTTTGGTTTGTGTAAATTGAGGTCTAGTTCATTTCCGCTGTTAATATGGATAGTTTGGGCAGGTGTGAATACAGCAAATCGCACTTTGTTGTGTACTAAACAATCAGCCTGATACCCAGTTGAAGAGGTGGTATTGATCTGCTCCAAAATGTACTCTGGTCCAGGTAATATAAGGTGTGAATGTCTGACCTCGATCAGACACATTTTCTGAAAGTCGTGCTGTCCAATAAATCGCCCACTAGCAAATCCCTAATCTAAGCTCTAGCTCTGATATAAGATTTATTTCTGGATAAAAGAAAAGAGCATTATGGTGTTGGGAGTTCTGTGTTTGTCTGGTTGGATAATCTACCATTATACCTGAAATGTGTATAAGGGTTTACTCGCATTAGGCACCGTTGCATTGAAGTGTGCCTGGGTGTGATTGTCCCCTCTGCTTCCACTCACATTGAATTTTACCTTTCGAGCCCTAGCACACTTGCATTATCGAGGATGCAACTGTTCAGTTAGAAAGAGAAGCGCTCTCGCCCAGTACAGCTTACCGTTTAAGTTGTATAGTTTTTTTGTATTACCCTTTTACGATTAGGTTGGTTGCTGTTAGACATAGCCCGGTATACGATTCTGGTGGTGTGAAAGCAATAGATGAAAATATCACTGTTTCACAGTGTTGTAATTACTGCTCTAAAGTTCTTTTTAAATGTCTTATGTAAAAGACTACTTTTTTTCTATTGAACAAAATACATTATTTAAAAAAAAAAGAAATTTTAGAGCAGTAAACATGTCAGGTTCAATAATTAATAAACAATAATTTCCTGTCTTAATTGGTTTCTGAAACTGATTTTTTTTTACAAATTTAAAAATGAATTTTTGGAATTTTTTTTTTTTTTATAATAATAAAGTGTATAAAGTATAGTTATAAAAAGCACACTACTGCATGCACCGTTGAGGTGTATAGCATGCTTGCATGATGGTGTGTAAGTGATTTCTTAAATTTCTTTTTAAATTTTACTATTTTAACTTGTTCAAATCTAAATTTTGCATTGATTTTTTTTTCAAAGAACTATATTAAACATGAATGTTATAATGCATAAATGTATGCTAGATCTATTCTTCCACTGACAGAAACTTTTTTTTTTTGCATTCTATCCCTTTTAAGAAATCTTAATTGTGAATCTGAAATGCAAATTTTAAGCGATAAATTACATTAAACATTTAGTTACCTAATTAAATTAAAAAAAAAATCTTTTTTTTTTCTTAGTTTTTCCAAACATTATCTGAATTGTGGGCTCAATCCTTAACGTTGATCTTTGTTTATTTTTTTCAGTTAAAGGTACTGCTACACAAAAAAAGTATTGGAAAACACACAAATGTAAATACCACAGAAATGGTATAACTACTTTAAAACCTTGAATTTTCCAATCCATGGTAAACCTTGAAACTTACTATTATCCCTTGTCTAGTTGCTGTCTTTGTTTGCAACTAGATTTGAAAAAGCATTTCTTGACTTTCAGCAAAGGTTGGCTTGGTTTTTTTTTTTTTTTTTTTTAAATTTTGACTCTGGAACCGTTATTTGATTTGTGAGCGTAAAGCAAATACTTTGGTGCACACGTGTTTTGAAACTAATACTAGTTGTAAAACAACTAGTTCAGGAATGAGTAAACTGCTCAATTGTTTTAGTCAATATCGACACCTTTAAGCCTGGTTTATACTTTTGCGTCAAGTGATCGGCATGGCACATGCAATGCGCGTAGCTGTGCAATCATACTTCTGCTCGCTGTTTCTGTTGCTCTGCAATAACACTTCCAAAACACTATTTGGCAGTGAGGTGTTTTATGTTTCTCTGTGTCGAGTTTCTTCACTGGTGGTGTTTTTTTCTGAACAATTCCTTAATGTACAAGTGCTTCAAACTCGCTCAATTTAGGCAGAAACCGGCGGACTTGCAACAACTTTTAACCATGAGGTAAACGCGAAACAAAAAAAAAACAAACACTGGAGCTCCTTCACGGGACTCCACAGTCGCTCCAGCGGACTCGCACGGCTCTCGGTCCCGCCCACACTCAGCGCTACCAAACCAACCAATCAATGCTTGCGCTATGCTACGCATCATACAATCAGATAAATAGACCTGAGCATTCTTTTAGTTGTTAAAGTGTAAAAAGACAATGAAAGACTGTTTAAACACAGGTGCCGTCATTAGTCCAAATGAATTTTACTCCAGTATTTTCAAAGACATAGCATGGAAAAATATCATTTAATGCAGTGCTTCTTGTTTGATCTGATATCCATTTTATTTTGTATCTCAGTCAGGCAGTGAAGATCACTGTTTTTAAAGCAATAGGATTTTAAAGGGTCACGAAACACCAAAACACATTTTTTTAGCTGTTGACAGTCGTATATGTGTCCCACACTGCTAAAAACACTATTAGGACACCTATATTTCACTAAAAAGTGTGAATTGGTTGTTTTTGCGTTATTTCAAGCAAATTCGTACTTCCTGTTTGAAACAAATTTTTGAAGCTGCTTCACGGTCATGACATAATAGCGTGTATTCCAGAGTGCAGACTGGGCGTCTGTGCCAGAGTGAGTCTTATTACGTCTTACAGTGTGATGCATTGATGCATGAGTAAGGCTTGGTTCAAACCAATCAGCGCACTCTATTGTGCAACTTCATTAATATTCATTACTGTCAGAGTGTAGATGGCAGAGACGCCACGTTGTGTTGGCAAAACAAGCGTGAAGTGTTGCTTTTATTGTTTGCTGCAGTTAAGTTTCGTTTTCATTTTGTCTCTGTGAGAGCGCAGACTCGCGCGTGGATTAACAGTGTACGCGACGCGCGACAACAATAACTTGCGTGTCTAAGGAGGATTATTGTTTACCTGAGAGCTGTTCTCGTCTGCAAACGCTGAGATCCAGATTGTAGTCTCCTCTAAATAAAGACTCGGCTCTAGTTGCTGGTGATTGTCCTGTCTCTACAGATTTGGTAAGTGAGCGACCAGTGCTCTTTGTTTATTCAGTTTGTATTTTATTCGTATCAAACAAACTATTGCACCGAGTGCAATAGTTAGCACTAACAGTTACAACCAAACTATAACCTCGTGTTGGATTTTGTGACCGGAATACCACACGCGGCTTTCTGACGCTACCTGCCGTGTGTATCTAAGTTCTCAGGGAAATGCTGAGTTTTTTTTCTCTCATTCGCCGTGCGGTATCAAACATTGCATGAAAAATACACGCTTAGAGCAGCGCCTGAATCAAATATCACGTTTGTCGGGAGGGACATTAATGAATTCCCTGAATGAAAAAGCCAAACTGCAGTTAAAGTCCACCATTTAATAATTTGGCAAATAATTCGACTACAGATGCCCATGTAAACACAGTCACATTGTCCGCTGTGGTTGTGTGTTTTGACTCTGAAATTCAGCGCGCCCAAATAGACACTCCCATACCAAGCCGCTTTTCTTCCTCCGACACTCCCCCCTAAACAGAGCTGAACACGCCCACTTTTCTGACTTTTTCCAAAGTAGAGGTGTGAAAACACACTGCTGAAACGAGGGGGTTTCATGGCCCTTTAAATGCTGCGATTTTTGTATGGGATGACGATTAACCAGAAGCCCTGGTGCTTGCTGACTAAAATTAAGGGTGTTTTCACACCTGTGAATCGATTCAGTTGTTCCGAAACAGAGATTACAAT